TGTCGCCTAGAATTCGGAAATTCCCCAACTCTCCCGCTAATGTTATGCACAGTGGAATGGAATGGCTTTGGGGTAGTCTTAAGTGATGTTTTAACTGAGTTTTACAGACAATTCGCTGCTGCTTGGTGGATGCATTTGAACAGCTGCTGACACGACAATCCATAAAGATTTATTGGCAAGTTCATTTTACAGATGTGCAAACAATTTGTGTTTATATTTGCTCACAGCGCTTCCAGTTATAAAGGTATTAGCTCCCAAGCGGAATCTTATTCCATAAAATAGCTTATATAATTATCAGTTTATTATTCATAAATGCATAGAGCAAATATTTAGAGCTTATCCACTGTTCTCAGTCATTGTCATTAGTCTAATTGCCTTGAACCAGGCCAGTTCGAAAACCCAACCCATTCACGCCCCCCCATCCTATGGGCAGACCATTAGTTAAAGGCACACTAATTTGTTGTCATAAATGTTATGGATTTGCTGTAAACTTGATTTTTATTTGCCACACAATGCGAGGGAGTCTTTCACTTTTGTTTGTTTGCACTTATCTGGCTGTGGGAATATCCAAAATATATTAATGGCAGATACGCACATACAAATTAGTTTCTTGGACATTGGATAGTGCGCTTATTTATCAATATTTGGGGTTTATTTATGGCGGGTTTGAAAGATAATACCACTAGGCTATAGACTAGACATCGTTCAGTTGAACGAAATCACAGCAGAAGCAAACATGCAGAGTGTCTCGGTACAGTGATTTTTTGACAGTGAATTGTGTTTAAAATGTAAGAAAAAACTTCAAGAGATGATACATAACATATCTATAGAATTATTCGCTGTTTTAAATATGGCGAAAGACAAGTTGCAATCCGGAAACAAAATCTCTAAGTTCTCTAAAACAATCGAATATTTATCTAATTTATTCTACACTTATTTTCGAGTGGCAAGAATCGAGCGTAACATTTTACTAATTGCCAATCGATTGAGTGGAACAACTTGTCGAGGGGTATTTGTATTGAAAGTTGACTCCGTTAGTTAAGTGAACAAATTGAAGTGAGATTATCGGAAAGTGGTATGGTTTATTCACGTATTTGCAGAGTTACAAACTGTTTCTTATTCAAATGAATTCCATGGTTTTATTTCCCATCGCTGAATGTAGTCTGAAACTTTAAATCTCGCATCAAATGTGCTGCTCGACTGGCTTTCGGTTGCAAGTACGAGTAAATGCCAGAGCGCATAACGCAGAGCCATTTATAAATGTAGGAGATACATGCTCGTAGCTGCACTTACTTTCCCACTTCATCAGGCAGCAAAGAACTCCGCTTCGAAGAGAAGCCATTGCCACGAGATGCTTCTCCCTCTCTCTCTCAAGTATTTTCAGCACGTTCCCATTGATTGCGTTTGGGAGGTGCTTCCACCATGTCGTGGGGGGTTGGATATATGACTCTATGCACGATAATTCACATGGCCATAAAGGCATTCCAGGCAATGCTTCTTCGCCCACGCAATCTGCCCCAGGCCCCTGCTCCTCCTGCAACTGTCTCGCTCAAAAGGTTCGTTAATCCATTAAATTTGAAATATGTTCCAAGGGAAATCCCTTGGAAATGCCGCTTACATTTAGATAAATGCCATTCGCTGGGGTAATGCCTCGTTGCCGATGTGTCAAGCTCCCAGAGAGATGAGCTGCTGGCTGCCAACACAAATCAAAATGAAAAGAACTCGGTTTCACTTTTGCCATTTTCTGTGCACTCTGCACCCAGCCACATCCACAGCCACAGCCACAGCCACAGCCACACACATTCTGACACAGTGCACGTGCCCGTGGCCCAACATTATGCAATTGTTTTTGCCCCACACGCAGACAGAGACAGCCTCAGAGCCACACAGCAACATGCTGAAAGGAGCACCAGCGGGTGGCAGCGGCCTCCCGTCATTTTGATGGCTCTGACAGTGGGTTGTTCTCGCGATTATGGCCGAAATAAACTGAAATTGAAATGGCATAAAACACAACTAGATGTGGCAAAAGTGATGCTTAAATGTGCCAGAAGAAGCATGCCAGTTGCAGCTGTAGTTTATAGCGTGTTTCGACTGTTAATATTGGTTTGCTTACAGTGGTGGCGAGTGAACTTCTACTAGAGAGCAGATTCAAAGCGAACCTCTTTTGTTTTTCGTTTCTTTTTCTTGGGTTTCTCTGCAGATTAGCGCCTAGCTCGTATTGCACTTCCCAACAGGAAAAGATATAACAGAAAAATCACTTCTCATGCACCGTTATAGCACATGCATTACGTGCATTAAACATTATACTTTATTTTTGTTAATGTTTTATGCTTAATCTTAGAGTAAAGTTGAACAAAAAAGGCTGCACAAATGTTAATCGGAATATTTTGTGAGGAGTGGAGCACAGCGATACGTGACAAAAGCGAATGTCTCTGGATCTATGGAACTGTCATTACGTAATGCTCACATATACATATGAACATCCGCTGGCTTGTGTGTCCCACTGTGCGTGGGGGCACGTCCGTTCAAGGACGCATTGCTATGGAACCGCTTGAAAATGGCATCCGGACTGGGTGACTGAAGGTGGCGTCGCTCGAGTGCAGCTCCATGGCGCCGCTGCTGGCTGGCTCCCTTGTGGCCCTGGCCATGGCCAGAATTGTTCCATTTCTACTCTTGTGGCATACTCTCAGCCGCCAACCCGCCATTCTACAACTACATTCACATTCACATCCTCGCCGTCAGTCCCGCAGTCCCGCAGTCCCGCATCCGTGGTGGGTTTCGCTTCTGTCAGCACTTGGCACCCACTTGTGTGGTATTTTGCTTTACACTTTTGCACAGGCTCCCGCCCTTCCTCTCCCTCTGCCTGTTTCTATCTTTGTCTGTCTGGGGCTGCCTTTTGTTTCCCTTTGCTGTTTTTGGTTTTGGCGCTCGCTCTCTGGCGACAGCAATTGTCATGTAAATGGGTTAAATTCTGACATTAAATTGTTCGTCGCAAGAGATTTTTCATTTGTAAGCTCTGCTTTGATGCTCGGAAAACATGATTTCTCATTTTCGGCCGACTGGCCACAGCACCCAGCACCCAGCACCCACACTCGATTCTAGCTTTTCCATTAAAATTGAAACCAAAACCAAAAGCAGATCCCTGCCTGTGAATCGGTGCTTAGGGGCATAAAGGGATTTTGCTGCATTTTGATGCAGTTGATAATTGCATTTCGAGATTTGCGAGACGAGAGAACGAATCCTTTGTGCCGTCTCTGACAGACCACACAGCATTGCCAATGCAATAAAACAGGGTTTATAGAGAGAGAGAGAGAGTCTATTGACAGTTGGTTGGTTGGTAATTTCACAGAAATTAAAATTAGCGAGACAGAAACTAATAGGAAACTCTGTACCCCGTGGGATTAAAGTTTATCAAAGGCACTTATTGAGCATTACCATTCAATGCAGTGGAAAACGATAAGGAAATATATGAACGAGCAACGACAATCGAAACTGATGGGTTTATGTTCATTAGAAATGGCAACTTCGGACCTAAAGGCAGCTGCAATGGGTACCAAGAAGTGCATTTATTTATGGGAAAAAGCAGTTGAAGTGCATGTAAATAAATGCTGCACATTGCGCGATAGAAAAAGGTCATCAAAAAGAAGTGCTCTGAGTTAGTAGATTTATAGTAGATCAGCAGATTGTTCTACAGGCGAAAATACTTCACTTCAAAGTAAACTAAAATATCTAATTGAATCTTAAAAGTATAAATGCACATCAATATGTACCATTCACATCAAATAACTATTACTTAAACGGCAGAGGAAACCAACAATGGTTGGATAGGGAAAACAGCCGCACACCTGTCCAAATGGAAGTACAAATGGAGCGGGAGTGACTGTGAATAATGCTCTTCCGTAACTGTGGGTGCAACATTTAATTGCATGCAAATTGAGGGACGAAAACAAGGTGAAACAAAACGGCGCCCAACTTTTGTTTGAGAGAATCATGCAAAGCGCAGCACATTCGAAATTGGCCATTGAACTTTCATATCAAAAGTAAGAGCAGCGGCGGCAGGCAGCAACAGCAACCGGGGCTGCAAATGGGTTTTAAAAATGCTAAAAACACGCAAACCAAACACCGCGCCCCATCATAATTGGAAATGTCTGTAAGAATCGCAAGTCGCGAGCCACATAATGGCCCGTGCGAGTACATCCGCTGCTGCCAGCTGATATGAGCCTGCCCTACCTCCCCCCGTGCAGTTGTTAACAACTTTGTGGAAATTACAATGGGGTAAGGAAAGGAAAGCAAAGTGGAAAGTGTAATCAAAGTGGTTAGGAGGTCGTTGCTTTAAGGGCAAGCGATTAGCGTGCAATGGCACGGAGCCTAAAAATAAACAGAAAAAACATAAACAAATGCCAAGAATCGATGAACAGATTTACGTTATATCCATTCATTGATATTTCTTTATCTCTATTTAATGAGCATAAAGAGATCTAGCACCTGTTTTGGGTGGTTTGCTTATTGGCTGGATAAATTAGAGATCTTTAAATGTCAGTCCTTATGGGATGACGCCGATCCAATTACAGGCGATTCTGGGGCATCCCTGATAGAGGTTTTCAATATTCAGTTACTCTTATCAAGGTCTCTTTCTGCGAAGGAATTTGAATGCATAATTCATTGCAGTTGAGTGCATTTTGGGTGTAAAATGTTTCGCTGTCCAAAACGTATGTTAAATATTTAATTTAATTTATGGAAAACGCGGCATGCCGGAGATTAATAAATGGAATATTGACGGATTGCAGGCACCTAAATACACAATTTTCTTTCATTTGTGTTGTATATAATAACTGCATCCCCTTATTGCCCATTGGCTCAGACTTTTTATATCATCCCAAAAAGAAGACATGCAGATCGTATACAAAATTTAAAAATTACCATTAATATGGCATGGAATATGAGGAAAATAGAGTAAATCCAAATCTCCCTAATGGCATACTCTTTTTTTATATTTTCAGCTTCCCAATGCCACTAATCGCAATAGGAAAACGTAAGTGCAATTTCTTGAAATATTTATTATACACCGAGCTCTTAACACTAAAAAACTGCAATAAATTTAAACCATTTAATGTTAAACGAAATTTCAGAATCCGTTGCGTAGACGTCGGGGCCCTATCGATGTCCGTCCCGTGCCGTCCACGCCCCCACTTTGCCGCCACAGCGTAAAACAATCAGAAACCGAGTGAAACAAAAACCCGAAAAGAAATGCCAAAAGAATAAAATAAAATCGCACACAAAGCAAATAAAGAGGAGAGCCAGAGACGGTGCCGGTGCAGTAGAGAATATACAGAGAAATCAGCGGAAAATAACATTGGAAAGCAACGGTAAAAACGAAACGAATGAAATCAAAACACCAACGAAGAGTAAAGCGACGACCAACACGGAAGAAAGCAGCATCAGAAAAAACAACAAACGCAGTACCCAGACCGGTAGAACAAAGCAGGGTCCACTGAACGGAGGATACCCAACCCCTCTACCCCTACCCCTACCAACCCAATACATTGTGGTATGAAGGGAGGCGGCGCCTACATCAACATTGGCTCAAGCAGCAGCAGCATCAACAGCAGCGTTAGTGGGAGCGGCAGCGGCAGCGGCAACGGCAACGGCAGCAAGATGACGCTCGGCAAATCTGTTAAAATGTACCTGACCATATTCATAGCCACGACCTGCATTTACATGGTGCTGTATCAGTATCACATGTCCCGGGAGCCATTCTCACCCAGCGAAATTGGAAAGGTGAGCCAAAACTTGAACTTCGACTTGAATAGAGATTTTTGCTTTAAGTTTAGTTTTAAGATTGGAAAGCCATAAGCAAATACCTAATTCATGACATTTACTGGAAGTACCCCAAAATAACAGATTCGCTTTGACATGAATTGATTTTTGCCATTTAAAGCTCTCCCTACACTTGATAAGCAGTGCAGCAAAGTAGTACAAAGCAGTGGATGCATATCTGTGAAGCAGTTAAATGCTAGCTTTGAGAGCTCAAAGCAGTAGTACCGTACTACTGCGCTCAGCTCTCTCTCTCTCTCCCACTCTCTTTCTTCACTTGCACAGTTCGAAATTCCAGTAAATGTCATTCAGGCTTAAGGAACCATTTGATTGCAGTTGTTGCCGCTGCAGCGGTTCATTGTGTTTTTCTTTTATTTTGTTTCTGCAATTTCGTTATCTGTTTTACATTGTTACATACGTATGTATGCATACTCTCTCTCGTATGTCTCTCATTATGTGTGTGTATGTATGTCTGTGTATGTATGTAATTAGATACCGTTTGTTAATTAGCCAGAGCGAGTTACAAGCACATTTCTCTCCCATTCGCACAATGTGTTGCACAATTGTCGTCATACCCCATCCATCGCCCATCGCCCACACTGCAATGTCTCACTGTGACGGTGTGGACATCAATAATATTACAGTTATTAGATAAACAACTTATCGGACACAGTCAGGCGGCAAAGATTGATAGCCAGCGCCAGCAGCTAGACGAAGTTAAACATATTATCTTTGATGAATGAATGTTTGTAAGGGATCTCCCCTGCCCCCAAAAGGGATTACAGAAATCGTTTTATGAGAGCAGCAGAACACATGGGCGTGTATTATCCCAGGGGAGTATAAAGGGGGAGATAGATAAATGATAAATCTACGTACTACGTGCCCTAGCCACTTATTTTTTAGACTTTTGTTTTATCTTGTTGAGTGTTTGGTTCCGATTGTGCTTTCCTTTGGGTTAGGTTAGTGTTTCCGCCTCTTATCATAAGCCATTAATCGGTGTACTCGTATGTTCTATTATCTAACTTTCCATCTATCTATGTATATCTATTCGTAATTGTTTCCTTTTATGCTCTTGTTCTATTTCCACTTGATCGCCCATTCGCTCATCTAAACCAAACGTAACTTTAGCATCAAGAGAAATCATCATCATCATCGTCATATATCGCCTCATATTTGTGGTCACCCATGTCCCTGCTAATGGCCAATAACTCGACAAGCAACAATGCAACAACAACAACAGCAGCAACAACTACTGTAAGCAATGTGGCACAGGTGCAGGGCTCTTTTGGGTCCATCCAATCGGTTTCATTAGCTGCTGCTGCCACCCGACCCACACAGGCATCGTCATCGGCATCAGTGGGTGGCGCCCATAAGACTGCAACAAGCACATCAACCACTCCTCCTCCTCCACCACCAGCAACAGTGACATCAACATCAACAACAACAACAAGAACTACCAAAGCCAAAAAAGCTACAGCAAATGCCGCCAAAGCCTTGGCCACATCCACATCCATGTCACAGGCCCAGGCCCAGGCCCAGTCCCAGCTGGACGCTGCCCATAAAATTCGACCAACATTCGTTGCCGCTTCAGAGCCCGTAAATATATTGACGTAATCATAGTCGTAGTAGTCGTATTAGTTGTAGTTTTAACGTACACCCCACCTACTCCTTCGAGTTTGAACTTGCAACCACAAGCACAGACTCTCTTTCTTTCTTTCTTTTTGTCAATTTGTTTGATTTGAGTTTTCTTTCCTTCCATCCAATACTCGTAACTGCCATGAAAACGTTCCATTTACAAAGTTATGAAATGGTTTTTGTTCCCAAGGTTATGCCATGCTTTCTTCTTATTTCTTTTGTGTTGAAATTTAATTTTGCAAAGTGCATTCAGTATTCCCCTATTTGTGCACGAATATGAATGTTTTTTTATTGGAGTGTTTGATTACTAATTATGAAAGATCTGGTGGCTCATTGACGCCGCTGCTTGCTTTGTTTTTGTGCCTTTTTCCTTATCGCACTCTGGAACTAACTTTAACCATTTTCTTAATTGCTTTTTGTGGCTTGCATCGCTGGATGTCACAAATGCGTTGCATGGGGTTGTTGGGGGTAATTACAATAAATGAGAGCGTTGCCCATAAACAAAACTTAATGGAAACGTGAGGGAGAAGTTCTAGGGCAGAACCGTCAGCCATAGAAATAGCTCAGCTCTGAGGAAATTATTAAAGCCACAATCGGAAATGAGGATTTGTGGTGCTTGAAAGTCGTTTAAATAATTTCCACACGCAATTCACTAACTTGACAAATGCATTCCATATTTACCATGCACCCACCCAAGTGGAGCCACTCGTTGCATGTTAATTATAGTCTCGTTAGGAACATAAATGGAATATACAGATACCAGATACCCCCATAGATTGCCATTGCTGTGTGGGGTGGTGGTGGTGTTATTTGTCTAACCAACTTTTGTTGGCCGCACGATGTGCAAATTGGTTGCCGTCTATCAGTGGCACGATTTCTGGGTTAATCACATGCATTATACTACTGGAATTAACCAGCGAATGTCAGACATGCCCCCGCTCCCTTTGTCGCAGCTCCCACATCCTTTTCAAAATGATGTGCAAACAAAAAGATTTTCCATTCAGCGTTTTGCATGAGTCTAATTTGAAAATTGCTCAAAATGCAGATACAGATAGCGAGAGAGAGAGATAGAGATAGCGAGAGCAAAACCTAAAAACCAAAACCGCGGGCAGTACTGCAATAGCAACAAATGATGCACACATTTGTATATGTTTATAGAACATTTTTACTAGCATTGAAAGGCACTAGTGGGTGGTGGTTGTGGGTGGGTGGTTGGTTGGCTGCTGCTGATCTAGTTTCTAGATTCATGCAAAATGCAAGCCAATTGAAAAGATTCACGCGCATTTGTTGGTTTTCTGTCATTTAGTAGTTGGATCCACTAGCCACTGACACTGCTACTGCCCCCTGCTTGTGCCCTACAGCCAATGTCAGAGGTTGAGCACATCGGCAGGGAAAGGCAGTTGGGACCAGACTTTAAAGTTTAGCCTTTATGGCTAAGCTACTCTGTGACAGAAAGAGAAAGTGCGCGAGGCAGTGGATTTTAGACACAGGAACTAGTTTCCTTCATTCTTATGGGATTCGTAATTGGAGGTTCAGAATAAAGCAAGTACTTAATAGTGTTGATCAGTGCAGTGTTGTGCAGGGCAATTCAGTGTTGAACAGCGAATGGCATTTAAGTTTATCTAACATTATTTTGTATCTCTTATAACCGAAGGAGAGAGATCTTTCTGTTCAGCTTAGCCCCATAATCCATGCAACTAGGTTTTGCCTTTGCATGCTGCTGCTGCGGTACACATGATCCCATTCCCGCTCCCTACCCTTCCCTTCCGTTCCAATCTATCTCTGTTTCTTTATTTAAATATCTAAGTTTATTTTGCAAAATAAATTTGTATTTGAATGCGGCTTCCAACCCGCACTTCCCGCGGACAATTTGCAAACTAGTGCGGCGGTTTATTTATTTTCAACGTCAGTCGTTCAAGGGGCCAAGGGGTTAGTTATGTGGATACAATGCACACACCATCTGGATTATGGAAATTGAAATGGAAATGGGTGTAAGTCGGTTACTGGTGCAAAATGGGGTCGGATGTGGTCCAAGTCGATCCGATCCGTTCGCCTGTAGATTAATTTGCATAATTGCTCATAAAAGGAAGCTCACGCCGCGTTACGCATTTCACCACACCCCAACACCCCAACCACCCGCCAACCGTATTCACCTAACGAACTACTTTACCATCCTCCACTCACCACCAAGCAGCACAACTGCAGTGCACACACACACACACACACACACAGGCACACCGCTACCACTACCACTATCACTGCTTGGAGTACAAGTTCTGCCGTAGATAATTCTCTATCCCATCCTTTATACACTTGACCCCGCAGCCGCCGCTGTACATAATCACGCCCACCTACCGAAGGCCAGAGCAGCTGGCTGAGCTGACGCGCCTCGGTTATACGCTGAAGCACGTGGCCAATCTGCTGTGGCTGGTCATCGAGGATGCGAACAAGACAAACCCTTTGGTGGCGCACACCCTGGACCGCATCGGTGTGCCCTACGAGTACATGGTGGGTGAGTATTGTCGTCCGATGTCATGTCCAGACCCCATTCGAGTGATATTTACGAGTTTTCAATGTCCATGCCATCCCATTCCCCTTACCCTTCCCCAGCACCCATGCCCGAGAAGTACAAGCAAACGAAAAAGGCCAAGCCGCGCGGCGTCTCCAATCGGAATCGGGGCCTCGAGTATCTGCGCCAACATGCCACCGAGGGCGTGCTCTACTTTGCCGACGATGATAATACCTATGACATTAGCATATTCGAGCAGGTATGCCATCGACATTAAGGGGGGGGGGGGGCGGGAATACACTCCATTAAATATCAACTGACGACTGGGCTTGTCCTCCTTCTACTTCACAGATGCGGTACATCAGCAAGGTGGGCATGTGGCCCGTGGGTCTGGTTACCAAAACGGGCGTCAGCAGCCCCATTATACGCAACGGGAAGCTCGATGGCTACTATGATGGCTGGATAGGGGGACGGAAGTATCCCGTGGACATGGCCGGATTCGCTGTGAACGTCAAGTTCCTGCGGCAGCGACCACACGCACAGATGCCCTTCAAGCCGGGCTATGAAGAGGATGGCTTCCTGCGTAGTCTAGCGCCCTTGGCCAATGACGAGATCGATCTGCTGGCCGACGAGTGCCGTGATGTGAGTGTCTATCTGTATGTGTGTCAGATTTGTTCTTAATCTTTTTTACTCTACAGATCCTCACTTGGCACACGCAAACCAAGAAGAATCCTCCCGCACAGGCGTTGAATAAGACGCGCTACAGCAACACCAATCTGGAGCACATAGACAAGCTGCTGGTGCGCCCATAAGAACAGCCAGAATAAGGACTGTAGTTAGACATAGATAGATATAGATGGCGGGGGAGAGTGAGCTCACAAAGTGTCCATGGACTTGACCAGTTGTACAGGTACAACCTTGGGTTAAAAGTCACGTTTCCACTCTTTACTGTGGACTCTAACCAATCAGAATTGATCAGATCATTAGATCCAATAGTAGGGTGTACATTATTACCATAATCATACGTTAGTTAGTTAGCTCTAAGCGCACACTCTCCTACGATACAGAACCAGATACAGCCAGGCTTTGTTTGACCCCAGACACGGCTCCTACTACATGTTTAATCACACCTTAAGTACTCTATTCTAAATCATATCGTATCGTCCTCGACTACTTCTACTACTATTATGTAAATATTTGCAATTCTATTGATTTAAGTTTAGGCATACTTTTGCGTTGATTTAAGTTGCAATTTCTTAGATTTCTATCAGTCACAACGAATTGGATCGGATGTTCCTAAAGCTACAAGAAGATAAAGCCCCCAAAATCGTGCATCCCTCAAGGTCAAACTATTGGGTACAAGGTGTCAAGTATGCATTTCCCGGAAGGTTCACAAGGAACTCCTCACAAAGCAGTTTGAATGTGGGCCGCAGCCATTTAAATAATTCATGTTGACACACAGAATTTTCTGCAGGCGGCACAGATACTAACCGTAGTAACTCAAAGACACGGACAGGGCCCGCGAATCGCGTGCAGCAAGTGCAGCAAACTGTTTACAATATGCTAATGGCATTCAATGACTCAAAAAGTTGTTGGCAAAGCGCAAAATCAATTCCAATTCCAGTATAAATTATGCACACTCCCCCAACTCACTCTCACTCTCACTCTACCTTGATAGAGTCTAGATCTAAGAGTAGTTTCGAATTCTAGGTTTCCAACTGCAACACTTTTCGCACTATCCCTAAGTAAGGATAATGAATGATAAGATTAAGTTTACAAAAGATAAAGATAAATAGATACCTTTGTATTGTATTATATTCAAGTTATGAACTGCACTGAAATATGACTATGGCTACGTGTAAATATTACGAGTAAATTCACACCCCGAAAAACAACTAATTGTAACCAAACATTTTTACAAATCCCTCGATTGTGTATTGGTAGGGCAAAACTACGACAAATGGTATTATAAAATTTATACAATTTATACAAAATACGGAATACGATAAGCAGAAGCAAAGCAATTAGTTAGGTACTTACAACAAAATCTTACAACAAAATATGAATATTCGAATTATGCTACGAGTATGAGTATGAAATAATGAAAATAAAACCTCTCTTCAAGATACTAACTATCTCAGAATCTTCCCCCAGAATACTAAACGATACAAGAAATGCATAAACTATTCTCTTATTCAAGTAAAATTACAACATACAATGTTTAAACCTGAAAGAACTTCAATCATTTTTTTAGCATACAAAAAATAACTTTCAAAATAAAAATTTATCAACTTTCTAAAACATTTTCAAAGTACATTCAACCTCCTGTTTGTCTTTTTGAGTAACAACTTTCTAGTAAGTACATGAAGATTTATTTGAAACAAAGTTATTTATATAAATATGAATCTTAAATGTAAATCGAAAGGTGCAACTGTAGCAATCGAAGCGTGTTGGTGATCTTTACTAATATTCAAATTAGAGTTATCTATGGACTAGTGGCTCCAGACGGCAGCATCAATCAACTGGTTTAGAGTTTGCTGCAGTCGCTCTGTGCGTTAAGAGAGAGGCCTTCGTCGTTCCAGCAGATTTGCTGAATGTTTGCTCAACTATTCAGCTGGTTCGCATTCCGATTCAGTTACTTGCAATATTTTACGTGTATTTACCATCGCTGTTCATTTTTTCTGGCTTATATCTTTTTAGAGTACCAATCTGGATTCTACTAGGAAAGAGTGCAGCAGGACAGTTGTGCAGCATCTAAAAAGCTTACATCAAATGGCACTAAACTGGGCACTACTTTAATCTATGACTAATATAATCCTATCCTTTCTATAGCCTATCCAAAAGGTAAACATTTAATTGAAAAGCATTTTAATACCTTGCTAAAAATGCTCTATTCTAGCTGTGAAAGTAGAAGAAAACTAACATCTTTGATGCCCTACGGGAACCTGTATTTGTTCTGAGTTTGGTGCATTGGTCATTCGCCAAGAAAGTGAATGATTAATATCATAGATCAAGAGACAACATACCAAGCTTACATGCGGACAAGGACTAACAGGGATCGAAACATAATTAATATCCGAACTGCTGTGCACTCTACTGTGTGGTACTAAAAAGATAACTCAACATCGATGGCTGCACGTGAAAGCTTATAGTTGCCTCTTCCCACTTGGTACGAATCAAACGCTGCAACGGCGTGTTGAGCGTTGACTCCTCCTTGGCGACCACATCGCTACTACCGCTAGCGCCACTAGCAGCACCACCAACACCGCCGCCGCTAGCGGCACCCACACCGCCACCGGCAGTACCGGCACCTCCAACCGGACTGGGAGCAGCAGCAGCTGTAGCCACAGCTGCACTCGCTTCTCCATCCTTTCCGGCTGGCTTGCCCGCCATCGAGGTACCCTCCGGTGTGATTGGTTGCCGCTCCAACATGACCAATGCCTGCTCATTGTACGTGCGATTGTCGATGGTCATCTGTATCTGATGACCCGAACAGCTGTAATAATTCACATCGAAGCGCGACTCTGCGTGATAGTTGCGCAGCAGATCCGGATTGCGGTTGAACACCACGCCGTAGTGCCCCGTGCAGCTCGTCACCCAAATGGGATAGTTGGGCGTCTTGAGGCGTGATCCCGGCTGTCTGGATTGATTCACCGCTGCCTAAAGATACCAAAAAGAAAGTAGACAGAGAGATTGGATTGGTTTCCTCGACTTACGCTAGTGGATTCAATGTCCCAGAGCAGCAGACCGATCATGCAGCGTTTCAGCACTCCGTATTGTGGTACCGCCTGCAAATATACGTAAAAAAAACTGAATAATAGATACCTGTGAGTGGAGCCTTAAGCTGCAGCTAGCTCTCCGTCTTCTCGTTACACACATAGCTACTCTCATCTCCCACATTGACGACACCATTGTGTATGTAGGGCGTGGCACGTCCCGTCAGCAGCAACGTGACAATCATCAGCGAGCCCTCCTCGTGGTTGCTGCTTGTCAAAGGCGAGGACTTTGAGGAGTCCAGATCCGTGCGAACTCTGCAATGAAACGAAAAAGTATACACCGCCAAAGGAGCAAATATTTATACGATAAACTTGATACAGAGATCTTGATACTCTCTCTCTATTCAGCTGCAAAATCTTACTTTCCCATGGAACGTGTGAGCACGGCGCTATAAAGAAACAGCAGAGTGCCGGGCGTCTCCTCTTCTGAAAACTTTGAAGCGGATTAAATGCCAAACTGATGGAACAGAGAACCAAAGCATAAGGTAAAGAACAAGTTGGGTCTTACGTATTTGAAATTTCGCTTCATAAAATGCTCCAACTCCTCATTGGGCGACAGGGTGAAGACATAGAGCTGGAAAAGTAAAAGGAATGGAAGTTCGATCTCTCTGCCCAGGCTACAACTCACCTTCTCGGTGACTGAATCATGAAAGTAGCTGGCAGTATGATCCACAAAGACTTCGTCCTCTGATGGCAGCACCATGATCACCTTACCCTTGTCCGAAATGGTGCGGAGAATCTCCACCAAGGCACAGAAGAGTGCCTCTCGCTGCATCTCGGCGTTGGCTAGGAGAGGGCTGTATATAAAACACACGCGAACGAACAGGAATCAGCTGGTTGAAGCACAAGGAACGCTTTAAAAACGCACTCAGTGAGGGCAGCAACACGGCTGGTCTTGCGCGCGAACAGCAAATACTTGAGCACAAATCCCTGGACGACAGAGAGCAGCCCACGCGTGGCATTCCGAGGCGATCGCAGGCCGTACGCCAGCTCCTCCTTGGGTGCACCAAAGACAAAGGACGTCTGCAGCCACTCGGCACGCATGGGAATGGCTGCGGTGCCAAAGATAAGATTGCGCAGATCCTAAATATGGAGGAAAGACATCAACACGGGCCTCACAGGAGGCAGGACACTGCCTAATTACCGTTGCCAATTCGGATGTTATGGGCGTGCCGCCCTGTGTGATGAACTCCTTGTTCATTTGGTGCCGTTGGTCGATTTCCGTTTCCGCTGCGAGACCTTTGCTCCGCTCTGCGACTCGATGACGAATGACTTCTCGGTAGCTGGAGCTGCTGGTAGACAGCTGCTTTTAAGGTATTTCACACTTCAGAATGGATTTTTAATTTCATATTTAGCCGGGTTTGTATGCGCAACGAAACAAGCAGCCAACCAGTCAGTCGGCACTCACGGCAATGCCAGACAGTGGGCAGCAAGCACATCAGGATTGTCCTACTAACTGGCACTAGGCTGCGGGACTCTGCTGCAGTTCGTTTGCCCCACTGTGCTGGGCCATGGATTAGCTTGGGCGGAGGGTCGTTCGCTTGTCTGTCAGTCAGCGAAAGTAACTTTAAATGAAATTGAATTGAATTTAGTTCTGTGTGCGGCACACGAAACCCCTCAGGGTGAAAGTGTTACGGAGAAGACCAAGACTGGCAGTGGGCATGGCCATGTGTGGAATATATTTTGAAGCAATTTTTTGGCATGTTGCAGCTTGTCAGGGCGCTCCACACAACCGGAAATATGTAGTTGACGCCCATTTTGAGGCAAGAACACGTGTGCAGCCGTGTTAACACTCGGTGGCATGGGGATGTGGGGGATTTCACTGGCCACCGCATTACTTTTGGCTGAGAAATTTTAAAATTTAGACACGGCGATTGATTTGTTGAATTTCTGGGCGGGCCTCAATGGAAGTGAAAGTGGCGGTGCCTGACCTTGGGCATGTCATCTGCAATGCATTAAAGTGCAGACCCTGACATGCACAGCCGAACAGCAACGGCAGTAAATGAAGGAGCGACGTGGCGTTGTCAGTTGCTAAGTAGCTCTCGGGAAATGTGTTAACTTGGATTGACATTTAATTGGCTCTCAGAACAGGGTACTCCAAAGCACTCATTACACACGCTTTAACTTATACAAAAGACCCAATTTAATACACAATAAACCCTACACACTTTGCTGCTTAACTTAAGGTTGAAACAATTACAAAAATCGGCCGCTGTTTCAGCTTGGAATCGGTATGCCATCGGGCTGGTTAAGCATATGGCGCATAACCGTCCTAGCCGACGCCGGTGCACGTCCCACGAGGTAGAGAGCATTAAAGTACATATTTATGAGCCGCAGCCTCAAGGAGGTTGCCCACAGGCAATACTCAAAGTACACACGACGGCACATCCAGCGGAAGTACTGCAACGGCGACGTGCGACCGTGCTGCATGTAGAGACAACGTTGGGCATAGCGGGCCATGACATGTGGCCGATTCACCACATCGCCATGCTGGTGGCTAATGGCGCGCACGGTGTTCAGGTTGCGCACCTATGAAATCACATTAAATGGGTTAGAAATGACAGCTAGAAAAGAGTTTCGCTTACCACAAACAGCATGCTGCGCGGCATTTCCTTCAGAGTGCCCATAATCGACTCGAAGTTCTTCCTTGCCAGCTCCTGCATGTGCAGGATGTCCTCCTCGGACAGTTTGCTGCGTATTCTGCCACCCCGTACGCGAATGGGCTGCTGGAAGAGCACCTCGGCAAAGCGCATGTGATCCACGATGCCAATCTTCTCGGCTGCTGCCTGCATCTTTGTTTCGTTGCGCAACACTGTCGCCTCCCAGAACTCGCACAGCGGGCCACGCACCTCAGCTGGCAGCTCCTCGTACAGGCCATGATCAAGCAGTATAATGTCAGCTCTGCCACTGCTTTCATTTCGGCGCACAAAAACTATAAGAGAGGGTGGAGGGAATAAGCAGTTTCTGTGGACTTGCTGGAGCGATACCCACTGTTGCCGGGATGCGGATCGGCGTGCACGAAACCGGTGTAGAAGATTTGCTCGGCAAATGTGTTGAAGAGCTTCACATCGATGTCCTTCACGCTCAGTTTTTGTTCAGCAATTGCCTCCAGATCGCTGATCTTGCAACCATCCATCCATTCAAGGGTGAGCACGCGCTAATGCAAAGACTTTAGTTGCAGCATTCTGACGGGATAAATAGCAAGCTCACCGTCTTGGTGTACGGCCAGTAGACCTTTGGCACATGCACATACTTGAACTTCTTCATATCGTTGGCACAGCGCTCGGCGTTGTGGCCCTCCTGCACAAAGTTCATTTCCTGGACCAGATTCTTGCGCACATCCCTCATAATCCAGCCAAAGTTGTAGTCCTTGAAGAAGAACTCGACAATGTCCTGCAGGAACATGATGGTGCCCAGGTCGCTGATGAAACGCTTCTGCAGATCGCTGTACTGCACCTTGACGGCCACCTGCTCGCCACTCGGCAGCTTCGCCTGGAAGACTTGCGCCAGGCTGGCTGCAGCCACTGGTTCGTAGTTGAAATCCTTATAGATCTGCTCGGGCAGCTGGCCAAAGTCTTTGTGGAACACTTTACGCACATCGGCCTTTGTCGTCGGCAAACATTTGTCCTGCAGCTTGGACAGTGTGCTGGTGTACTCAACCGGCAGAATGTGATTGATAGCCGCAAAGCCCTGGCCCACCTTTATGTAGAGGCCACCATTGAGCAGACACGTCTCCAGCAGCCGCTCGGCACTCTTCTGGTGCAGTGCCTTCAGCTTTGGGTCGTACTCGGCATCGTTCTCGCTCAGCAACAGATAATCCGCCGCAATTAGTCCGGCTGTTTTTAGAGAGCGGACAAAGCGCACCGATGCCCCGCAGTAGGTAAACTCGTTGACAATGCCATCATAGCCAATCGCACCCACACCGGCTAGTATCAGGCCCACCCGTCCAATGGGAAATTTTCTCCTCCCAGTGCTCTGTGTAACTTGATTTTGGCTGCCAAATCGTCTAACACGAAACCTGCTGCCCAAGTGTAGGAGTTGCTGCAATCGCTAAGGGTCCATAAAATACGCAGAATCAGCAGGAATTTCGCTGTTGTGTTTATTTAATGTGCTTACAAGAATTTGTCGCATGTTTCCGCAGGTTGGAAAGTTTAAAGGTTCCCCGTGGACACCTGTTATTATTGTTTGCCGAACAGCTGTGAAAGTTGCGACGGTCCGGCAACATCTGCACAGTTTCAGTCTAGTTTGCGCGAAAATGTAAAATGTACGTACATATGTAACCAAAACGGTCAAACAGTGGATAGTGCGAGTGAAGCAATATAATTCTGCCAAAACCGCATATCCCTCCGCAGTCAAACAACAGCCTTCTTGGCCGGATGCCGTGCCTAAGCAATCCAGATGCACCGCCAAGGAGAATGCAAGCAGTGCTGCACACATGCTGTAAGTACCGTTTATTTAATATGTATATATTTAAATCTTGTATATTTCTTCTATTTCGTAAAAACGAATTGTCTTTGATGTTCGCGTATTTGGAAATGTTTATGAATATGTATTTTCTGCAAGTAAAGTTAGTGTTAAAGTAGGGACGTTTATAAAAATACTTCAATCTGGCTCTGCCGCACATGGCGTTCTGACGCTCTGCGGGATCAGAATATAGATTCGCTTAGATCAACGCAGCTGCTTACATCTGCTTCAACTACACTTAAATTTAAAACTTATATTCCAACCCCAAGCAGTGTTCTTGGTTTCCCCGCGTAGTCTAAGAATTTTCAGGGATTTGAAATGGCCAAAGGATCGTCTTGATTCACTTTCTTGGCTCTTGGCTCATAGTTTGCTTGTTTTATAATCCGGTCATGTGCATATTGGAAGAACTTCTGCGAAGACCTGTCGAAAATGGCATCATCATATTCCGGATATTTAGCTCTACTCGCACCTGTAAGAGAGCGGGACAACAAATACAAATAATTATTTGCAAATAATTGTATGCTTAAAGTGAACTCTCACTTCGAATGGCCAGGGTAACGCAGAGTGGCCTAATGCACTTCTTTGTCGTAGTTCCTCTCCAGCAATACTTCTCCGCCAGCTCATCCACAAATACTTTACGCCAGCACATCCGAACGTATTTGTCGTAGTTTGTGGCAGTTAATTTTTCAAATTCTCTAACCTATTTGAGATACTGTACCATTTTTATATTACGTGGTTTTATATATCAGTGGTGTACTGACCATTAATTTAAGAGTTTCTTCGTCTAGCAGTTTTTTTTCGAGTTCTTCCAGTTCGGAGCCTAGAGTAAATGGATTAAGCGGAATTACTTTCGTGGGCCAATGGCCACTGTTCGTAATGGCGTCTGATGTTACGGCCCCTGTCTTCCTGTGGGGATCCCTCTGCAATGCCTCCAGATCACTTTCAATCTTTTCGAGTCTTGCGCAGATCTCCTCGCCTCTATCTTTCTGCCATGCCTCCATAGCTGCCTGCGTCTTCTGTATGTTCTTCAGGCGGTCCAGAATCTCTTTAAATGTGGAAATTTGTTATGTAAATGGCTGGAAATGCAAATAGCAAAGACTTACCCTTCAACACATTATTGTATAGAATGTTGTTGAGCGAAAGCAACTGTCCCACGCCTGAATCAAAGTCGGTAGCAGCCGTTGGCGGAGTCTCTGTGAGATTATGCTGCTCGCTTCCCGCAGAAATCTGCTCTTTTAACACACTTGTGGACTGCTCCCAGGCGCTTGTATTTCGCGGTCTTTTCCCAATCATCACCCTCTCAAAATCCGAGCCGGAACTATCTTCCTCGGCATAACTATCCCAATTGTGATACGCATTCGGTTTCCCTCTTTTTCCAGGGCAAGCGCTATTGCGGGATTTCCTCTTTGGCGGCATTTTCGGAAAGCGCTAAAAGAAATTATCATTAATAAAAAGTCATCAAGCACATTAATTGAGCACTTTCCAAGGAAAGAACAATGGATTCTTTGATATTTTACCTTTTAGCCGAGTGAGCAAAAAAAGCGAGCAATAATCGAACCTTTTGGCTTCGCTTTTCTCTCGCCTATCGCCTGAGAATTTACTCTGTACCCACTCACAAATGTAGTAAACTTTTTACCCGAGTGTATTATTCACTTATTCCAGGCGCTCCTATGACCATCTGCTGCCACTTATATGTCGAATTTTAATAGTTTCTTATCAACAACAAACAACAATCTTTATTAACTAACTACTGTAGCTGGGACAGCTGTTTGCACATCGATGCATCTGCATATCGCTTGTCGATGGCTGCCTACTATCGATTATTCGGCCATCGCTATTCTGTATACGAACACCGCCGCCGCCGCCGCCGCTTTGTTTGTCGGTGCGTTTGAAGTTTTTTTTAGCGTGCAACAAATTGTTTACCTTATCAAAGGAGGAGGCTGTCATTAGCGCACTAGCTCGAGTCGCCATTAGTCTTCGCCTTAGTCACAATCCAGAATGTCGGGAACCATACTCGAGAACTTGAGCGGCCGCAAACTGTCCATATTGGTGGGCAGCTTGCTGCTGTGTCAAGTGTTGTGCTTCCTGCTGGGTGGGCTGTACGCGCCCGTACCCGCCGGCCATACCAACGTACTTGGCTCTCTGTGCAGGGAGAACAATGCGCGTCAGAACGACACCAGCTTCTTTTTGTACTCGCGTGGCGAAGGAGCCTGCACCCAGGTGACACGCGAGGAGGTGGAACAGGACTCGATGAAGCTGGCCAACCAGATTGTGCATGTCTTCCAGATGCCACTGCCGCGCGACAGTCGCGTGCTGGACTACTCGCGCTGGCAACAGAATCTCATTGGCGTGCTGCAAGTCGAGTTCGGCTATGACTCTTCCTCGGAGCTACGCGAACCCCCAAAGGAGCTGCAGCTGACGATCGACATGCGCCTGGCCTACCGCAACAAGGGCGATCCCGATCACGCTTGGAAGCTGTACGCTCATGGCGTGGAGCATCGCTATCTGGACTGCGTTGCCGCTCACATCGGTGCCTCGGAGACGCTCTACACCTGCGACATGATTCCACTCTTTGAACTGGGGGCCCTGCATCACAGTTTCTATCTGCTGAATCTACGCTTCCCGCTGGACACGCCCAAGCAGATGAACCTCCAGTTCGGACACATGCACGACCTCACGCTGACTGCGATCCACCAGAACGGTGGCTTCACCCACGTCTGGCTGATGCTGAAGACCTTCCTCTTTCCCTTTGTGGTGGGCATCATGGTGTGGTTCTGGCGCAGGGTTCATCTGCTGCAGAGATCTCCAGCCCTGCTGGAGTACATGCTGCTCTATCTCGGCGGCGCACTGACATTCCTAAACTTGCCGCTGGAGTACCTGTCGCTCTCCATCGAGATGCCCTACATGCTGCTGCTGAGCGACATTCGCCAGGGCATCTTCTACGCCATGTTGCTCTCGTTCTGGCTGGTCTTTGCCGGCGAGCATATGCTGATCCAAGACTCCCCCAACAAGTCCACCATTCGTTCACGCTACTGGAAACATCTCTCGGCCGTCGTCGTTGGCTGCATCTCGCTGTTTGTCTTTGACATTTCCGAGCGCGGTGTGCAGCTGCGTAATCCATTTTACTCCATCTGGACGACCCCACTGGGCGCCAAGGTGGCCATGAGCTTTATTCTTCTAGCGGGTGTCTCGGCGGCTGTTTACTTTCTGTTTCTCTGCTACATGATATCGAAGGTGTTCAAGAACATTGGCGACAAGCGCACCTCATTGCCATCAATGTCTCAAGCGCGTCGCCTGCACTACGAGGGTGAGTAACTGCAACTTAGAATAAATTATAGAACCAACATAAAATCTGACTATTATCCATTCAGGACTCATCTATCGCTTCAAATTCCTTATGCTGGCCACACTGCTCTGCGCCGCTCTCACCGTAACTGGCTTCATCATGGGCCAAATGGCGGAGGGCCAGTGGAAATGGAATGAAGACGTGGAGATTCAGCTGACCTCGGCCTTCTTGACTGGCGTCTACGGCATGTGGAACATTTACATCTTTGCGCTGCTCATTCTGTACGCACCCAGCCACAAGCAGTGGCCAACAATGCATCACAGTGACGAGACCACGCAGTCGAACGAAAACATTGTGGCATCCGCAGCCAGTGAGGAGATCGAGTTTAGCAATTTGCCCTCCGACTCCAATCCCAGTGAGATATCCTCGCTTACCTCCTTCACGCGCAAGGTGGCATTTGAGTAGAGGATTCCATTTCCATTAAGTTGTGTGCCAAGCAAAGAGCTGCTGTGGCTGTAACGCTCAGTTTATTAGCAGTAGAGAGAGAGAGAGAGAGAGAGAGTGGAGTGTGTATGTAGCATTTCTTGCCTAGTTTCGCACTTAACAATCTGTATCAGCATTATTAATTAATTAACTTTATCATTATCAAATACCACATAGACCACCTTCGGTAGCTATTTCTCAAGCAAGCTCAAAGTGTTTTCCAATCGATTTGAATGTTGAATTTCCTCCTTTGTGTTTGCCTCGGCAGTCAGTATTATCTTTTGAGTCCATTTTTAATAGCCTGTAAGATTTTTATATTCATAAATATTTATCAAGATAACTTTTTAACAATTTTTGTATTTATATTTATACAATATCTATATACATACCACACCCATAACTATGCGTAGAATTCCTTTGCCCCTCCATATTTTGTAACTGAAAAACGTAGAGCAATTTTCTTACTCAAGTAGCGATGCAACGAATAAAAAGCAATATTAAAAAAGGCTAAATGATTTCAAGTGTGATAAATGCAGCCTAATCCTTAGTCATCGTATGGAAAGTTCGGGAATGGTGTGGGGTTCTGCTTCTACCATATGATTCTCTGCGGTGTGCTGTAGTCCTGCCAGTAAAACTCTTTGGTAAAATAAACATAGAAAGTGGCTACATTTAGCAGCAAATGTGCGCCCAGCTCCAGCCACTCCGAGTAGCCTTTGCGTGTGTGTCGCGTGTTCAGCCGGAAGAGCACGTAGGGCACTAGAAAGTAGCGTAGCTCGAGGAGTCGCTGGAAGCACAGAACCAGCACAAGGCTCAGCGCAAACATCAGCTTAAAGCTGTCGGGCATGTGACTCAGCCCGCAGTAGAGCACTGTCATGGCAAACAGATAGGCGGGCGCCATGGCATAGCGGAACCACCAGTACCGACCATACAGGCGGCTCCACACATAGAAAATGTAGTGACGATTATCGGCCAACAGGTACGGATGCACAACCGTGTTGAGGTGAATCACCACAAGTATCAAGACAAGAGCCAGAAGGGCAAATATTCTATTGCGGCGCAACAACTCCACGGCAGGACGGAGCTGGCGTAATGTGTTGGATACAGCAAAGACAGCGGCAAATATGGCAAAGTAGAAAATCTGCGGCAGATTGAGTGAAGCCTCGTGCGCGCTCTTGTCTCCTACGACAATGGCACCGTTGATGCAGAGGAATCCCACAAAGGGCAGTATGACGGATATGTAGAAGCAGCACTTGGCCAAAATGCTCAACACACAGCTGAACAGCAACTGTGGACTGCCCAGTAGCTGCAGCCACATCTGCAAAGGTAAGATAGAGTCTAATTAATCTCTCCAATTAATCTCTGCACTGCTCTACCTACATCTACTCCTAGCAATCGTACTTGTCCCTTGTGCACTGCACGCCGCTTGGCGCACTGCTTTACCAGCGTTTCCAGCACAGTGATGCCGGTGCCCATGCACACCCACACAATGTTCGTTTGTCGCATCAGCACACTGGCGGCACCGAAGACAGCCGCAGGCAGGTGCGCCTCATGCTGCCAGAAGTGATAGAACATCAGGACCATGGTCAGCGAGAGGGTATCCGTGTAATACAAATGACTGAAAAAGTACAGTGGCGGCAACACCGATAGGGTTATTGCCTCGTGCGCCGCATAGGAATTGCCGCCTGTGCCGGCCAACGTTCGACGTCGTATCCTGTAGAGCAGCATAATGTTGATGCCCGCACCGATGAGACTCAGCAAGCGAAGGCCCGTCACCGTGCAGTAGTTGAATGGATTCAAGACGAGTGCAATCAGATATAGGCCGGGAAACGTCGTTATCTTTGGATCCCACTAAAAATGAGATTGCGGCAGTAAGTATCAGAATGAACTAGTCTCTGTCCCCGCCACTTACCACGTCAAACTGCTTTCGGCAAAATGCCAGCCCCTGCGGAATGTGAAACTCCTCATCTATGATGTAGTTGGAAGTACCGTTGACGCGCAGGAACAGAGGCAGCGAGTACATCACAAAGCCCATGGGCAGTACCAGTTTCCAGGATCCGCTCATGATTAGTCCTGCAGCCAGGGGGACTGGCTCCTTCGATTGAATTTGTTGAAGTTTTTGTTTTGTTCTTTTCTTAACTGCACCGGCAATCAGTGTGACCGCGGATTTATCGATAAAATATACCGCACGACCCTCAAAAATATATGTAATCTTTATATGTATGTATGTATATGTATAAAATATGTAATCTTTTTAATGTTTGATTATAAAATAAACTCGAATTTTCTTTCTGAATAAAATTGATAAAAGAAATATGTATTTTTTGGGATGGGGTTGGATTTGATAAAGACAAGAACTTTTCCAGGAATATTCATCCGATCACAGGAATACACTTTTCCTCGTACAAATGGCCAAGAATTTTTAGGATTTATTTTTTTTTTCAGTTGGAAAGTAACTAAAAGTATGCTACAAGATTTTTGTGAAAGTAACTAAGAAATGTCACCAAAATATAGTGGCATACTTTTAGTTCCGGTTTCATGGCAGCCAGCTTTTGACACAGTGAAAAAAGTAAAAACCAGCTACTTGCTGCTGATTTCTGTTGGCCTGGTGCTCGGTCTAAAAATTTAAATTTTCGGAAATATTTTTTGTACACAGTGGCGCCCCAACTTTCAGAAGTGGCCGTCATGATCGCGGTGTCGCCACTGTGCAAATGACAACAAACACTCTCTTGTTGTACAACAACAACAACATAAATTGACAAAAACAACAGGACATATTTGTTTTGTTGTTTTATCCTTTATTTGAAGGACGATCAGGACATGCCATACCTCCTTGCAATCGGGACATTGCCCGGATCGTTTTCAATCCTTTCGGATGCAAGGACATTAAGGATAACGCCATTTTAAGGATGTTTTTAAATTTAATCTATACAACGCTATAACATGGCTGTTTCCTGTCGGATCAGGACATGCCACGAGTCATTGTAGTCGTGATCGCCTCCTGTCCCATCGGTTGCAAGGACATTAAGGATAATGCCATTTAAAGGATATTTTTTAAGTGATGTCTAAATAACGCTGTAACTTGCCTGTATCCTGTCGGATCAGGACATGCTACAAGTCCGCTTGAGCGGGAGAGTCTCCTGTATCATTTCAATCCATCAAGGACTTCAAGGACTGCGGGATATGGCTGTTTTACGCAATTTTCTAAAAGGCATGCTTTCAGCCTGAATGTATGCCACTCTTTTTGCAATCAAAGCAGCCCCCAAACGATGCTTCAATATTTTAAATGAATCGAATCAGTCCAAAAGTATGCTACACTTTTATTGGTATACAATTTTAACCTGCGCTCCAATCAGAGTCGTCCTCGCTTTCAGATTGGAAATCGTTCACTTCGATGGAGAACATGAAATCTAGACGGCAGACAAGTAGGAGTCGCTCATCGCCTTCATCGATCCTCTGCGGGAAAATGGTTGCAGTGGGGGGGCATTAGCGATTTAGCTGGACTACCGTCAAATGGTTAGCTCAACATTGTGATTTGATACCGATTGCAGGACCGGGCCCCATCGGCCAACTCTATTAGAGTGCAGCAGCAGACGATTCCTTCAGCTCCATGATAACAACGGTTTCGATTATCTGACAAAAACATAAAACGAGAACAGGTATAAAAAGTGCTGTCGGAAGTGTGAACATACACTTTACCTTCTCAGTGCCTCAGTGAAGAGCTTGACGAATCCTTGCTCAATCATCTAGGCCTGTGGACCCACAGGCTGCGAAAGCCATCCGGTCGAGCTCAGACCATTCACGCATGCCTGTGACAAAGTTGAAGTCAAAGCAATCGGGGCCGAGCATCAGTAGAAAGCATCGTTGAGGAACTCGAACGCATAGGCGACTTACTCTGCGCAACGATGGCATCCTCGTGAATGCTCAGACAACTCTGCAGTCGTCTGAAGGAGATGCGATCTTTCTTCACAATGCTGGCAGTCTCTTCAATGGTTTACTGTGGAGTTAGAAACACAAACTAGATTACCTATCAATTAGATCAATGCGTACCGCTTGTATACTTACATTCCCTGTAATCTCCTGTCTCTCGCTTAATCCTTCTCTCCTCCTCGAACTCTTCGAACTGCACTTTAGGGCAGTATTACTCTACATTGTCTGGGATGTGGTGGTGGCTGTCCATGCGTTTTTGACATGGAAGCCAAGATCTGGGATCTCTTGCCCAAGTGGAGCCGCAAAGTGAATCGTTCATCTTTTACCGACCGCAACAGGCTGCCAAACAGTTCATTTGGCACATCTGTCGTTCCGCGTGGTCCCTCAATTGCGTGCCATTCAACTCTTCCACCAAATGGCAGACCTCGCCACCGGACGCTCGATAAGTCGTACATATGCTTGCAACACATGATTGGGGGCTACAAACAGAACCAATTCATAATATTGTTAAAATTATCATCCAAGCCAAGGGACTGCAAATGAGGCATGCTGTTCGTTTGGTACTTACCGCTTTGTTCTCGTTGTGCAATTCACATGATGCGCCATCCGCCATGACTGCTTGTCGTTTTATTTCGGTTTTTAATGCTTAAATTTGTCTACTTAAATGGTTTTTCTTAATAAAATTGAGAAATCGGCAGCTTTTGTTGTTTTGGAAACCAGTGTGACCGCGGAACTATCGATCAAATATACCGGCAGACCCTCAAAAATATACCAAAGTATACCTTATTATTTTAAAAATATATACATATGTTATTATTGATATTACTTAATCTCGGTATATGCAAAACGGTGTTGCAAAACGAGCATGTCAACTATCGATAGAAAACTTACATATCGGGGATGTTGCTGATGTCTGACAAAGACTCGCCGCCACAAAACGTCAGCTCAATTGAAACAAGAAGGCGCCAAGTGGCTACAGTGCACTTACCAATGATTAAATAAGATTTTTGGTGCAGGCATACTTATTTTTATAGTTTTATCCACTATTTGCCGATAAATTCAATAGTATTATTTATTATCGCCTTCGATTTAGTAATAAGCTTACAGAGAAAAACATGAAACACATTTTCCAATTGGATTACAAATAACTAAACAAACAAAAGCTTAGCTTAATTAATCCAAGTGTCTACCAATAGTGAAATTTCGTCAATCAACAATCGTGAAAGTATTGCTAACAATAACATACGCGTACAAACTACACTCCTCTCGAGCGCATTCGAAACTTTTTTCAATTATTTCGTGACTTAAACTTAAACTATAAATAACAGTTTGTGTCATTCCCGATGTTTATGTATTTTACAAATGCTGCTTTATAATGCTTATGTGGTAGTGGGGGAACGGGAGTTTGTTTTTGTTAAATAAGAATATTGCAAGTAAATATTATCTTTAGGGTTGGGAATCTTTCTTCCCGTCGAGAGCCTTGGGGACTGGGCGCGGTCGAAAGGGCACTTGGGGAGAGTTGTATTATAATGCAAGTCCTGCCTGGGGGTGGGGGGAGAACTCTGTTAAATACTCTTGCCATGCCCATGGACGGAAACCGTTGCTCACAGAAGAAATTGTCGTCTGTGCCAAATCGAATGCTGCTTATGCGAATCTTTTTGGAAGACAAATGAAAAGGAATATTCCATAACTAATTGGGGGAATGCCTTCCTCTCTGCCTTTCATCTTTCTTTTTTTTTGCTACTGTACACAGTCTTTGTAAATGTTTTGTTGTTGTTTCGCTTGTGTGAACTTCCTTTTAGTTGTGCTGCCTACACCTCGGTGCTGTGCGTCTGAATGCGCACCTTCTTTACGCTACCATTGCGACGCATTGGTGGCGAGCTGCCAGAGCCAGAATATCCTGGATTCTGTATGCCCAACGTCGGATCTGGCCGCGGGCGGGGCTTCTTAAGGCTCGAACGCAGCGGCGAACGCGTGACAGAGTCCAGGGTGGAGCCATTCGAAACGCTCGTCACCGTGGTGCTCATGGAGGCCACACTGCCCGCAGTTCCAGCCCCATTTCTGATGCCGCTGTACGGCTTGCCCGAGGCATCTGTCACCGAGACGCCATTGCGACTGCGCGGCTCCTTGAAGCCAGGATTATTGAAGGTGGTGGCACTGGCAGGCGAGGCTGCGTCCATGCCCATGGTGGGATCACCGCCAGGACTGCGCGAGTAGATGACATCATACAGAGCTGCCACAAACAGGGCTATGGAGAGCACAATAGCAACGATCTAGAACAAGAAAATGGATAAAAACAAACTAAGGAACAAGCTATTAATTCAATCACCTGTATGTAGAAGGAAATGCCCCGCGATATCTTGAAACCGAAACGCTCCTGCTCATCAATTTGCAATGCAAACAGAATAGTGGCTATGATGGCCAGTACACCTAAGGGTGGGGGGAATTCAGATGTAAGTAAAAGCAGCAAAGGGAAAACTCATTAACTCACCTCCCAGCAGTGCAAATATCAGCTTTACTACGACCAGTGTGGCGTAGGGCATCACCACCTTCTCCCTGGACGAGATCATTGCATGCTGAATGACCGACAGAATGCAGAAGATGCCCAGCAAGGCTGAGCTACCAATGGCCAGCAGGCCACTAACAAACACGGCATCTGGGCAAGGGGAGGAAAATAAGTTCAGTTTTAGACTGAAGATTTATATTTGTAATACTCACTGCTTAATCGAAACTTGGATACATCATTGCCGCATTTCTCGCGATTGTAAGTCAATTGTTTGCACACCTTAAAGGGCCCAAAATAACCCCGATCAAAGTCATAGCCACCTGTAAAGCAAACAATTAATTATAATCAAAATTCCACTGCAAATTAGAGAGAGTAAAACTCACCCGATGGACTATCGTAGTAACCCCAAATGGGCACACCAATGGCCACAGATGCCAAGGCGAAGCAAACAAAGCCCAGACAGGTCACACCAGCAGCATAAAGTGTCGACTTTGCCATGTTTTACTGTACAGCATAACGAACGTTAAACATACAAAGTGAGATCCAAATAAACTGCGAAGAGAAAGATAATATTAAATACAGTTTCTGCTCGATTTGTGCCATTTGGCTGACGACTTTGAGCCACTTCAAGTCACTGTCAAGTGCATTACTAAAACGGGGACATGCCGTAAGCCGTTCTACAAATATTCTCACAGGCATTATCTTTAGCATTAGCATTGGGCATACATAAGTAGGTATAAAAGTAGCTACATCTGTACGTACATCTGCCAGAGCACCCTCGAATCTAACCCCACAATCAACCCAGTTCCGAGACACCCACCCACTGCCAGCTCCACCTTCACCTCCACCTCCACCTCCACCTCCACCTCCCAAATAAGCCTCGCCAGTCTTCGTTCTCACATCACGAACAATTAGATCTCATTCATACATAAAGAGCTACTTGCCGACGACCTTGAATTGCATACAGCAAAAAAAAAATGCTTACGCAGAGAAAATATATTTGTTGGCAGCTGTGGGTGTGCTGCTGTCTCTGTCTCCCCACTTGCTGTCGATGCTGTAAGGCTAATTCCCTAAACATGTAATTAAATAACAATTTATTAAACATTTTTCACATCTCTGATACAAGTTTAAGCTTTTTTTACGTCTCGAGGCTAATTGTTGGAGAATTTAAGAGCCACTTGCTAAAAGAAATAACAACGCTGAGGCGCATACGTGATATTTGAATGTGATCTAGTTGTAATTATGTTAAGCAGCGAACAATTAATGGACTGGAAAGGCTAAAGAATGGAATTAGACCACAAAGAAAAAGCGGCAGCAAAGAGGGGAAACTCTTGAGGGAGTAAATTGGGATGAAATGGATATCGGTTACTGCCTCAAAAAACTTTCACTGAAACTAAAGACAACCGAGATGCATAAGGCATATTTCAATCTCGTTTTACTTCCATTTGCATTCCTTCTGTATGATGATGGCTCCCCACTCATTATTTCCATAATTTGAGCAGGGTTACCCTTCTGCCTTCTGGCAGTGTACCTCCATTACATGCTAATAAACTCAACAAACAACCTTCTCCAGTCTCCAGTCATTATGCCATAAGTAAGTAAGCGGAGAGTCCTCATCGAGAGAGCCAGCGATCGCGCCGGCGTTGCATTTGAAACACTAGAAACAAGAAACTGGAGACACTCACTAGCCGCGAAGCCGAAACGAGTCCGGTTGTTGCCTCATCAGTGGAGACTCCAATTCTGTTGATGCTTCTGCTGCTGTTGCTTGCTCTTAACGGTAAACATACAAACCAGGCAGCAACAGCAACAACAGCAACACAATAAAATGTAAACCAGATAAAGCCAGTTTAGAATGGCAAAACATTTGATACACTTTTGATGCGCGGTTTTTCGAGAACTATGAAAAACTATATATTACAATTCTTTGGCTATCAGAATAGAAACAAAAAGTATTATTGTGAGGCTCGAACATGCCTAAAATATGAGGAAAATATCTCTTAGAGTATTGCCAGAAGCTCTACAGCTCCACAATTAAATGCTTAGCAAAGCTATCATCAAAATAATCATGCCCATCCCTCTTTAAGAGTACAACAAGAAGCTCAGGGCGGACAGGCAGGAAAGTAGAGATAAGGGGCATGGCTGATGGTTCATATGAGTAGCTTAAATTACCCAACGAATGCTGCTGCAGATGGTTCTGCTTCTGTGCCTCTTGAAAGTCCGCTCCACTACGCTTCGTTGAGTGGAACGCGGTTCTGTGTGGGTTCTGTGGAGACCTGGCCAAGATTTCGACATCTCTCGCGTTGCAGAATGCCCAAGACCAACAAAAAGAGAGTGGGGAAATGGAGCAGAGATTTCTATTATCAAAAAAGATAAAACAAAAGTTATCTTTGATCAGCAAAATGTAACTGAGATAGGAGCAAGACCAAGCCCAAGCTCAAGCTGCCGCCTTTTTCTCTTACTTTTCTAACATTATTTTACTTCTTCGGTGGCTTATTCTAACCATTCATTATCCATTCCATCTGCCATCTATTGCTATTCCCACCTCAATCTGCAACATTGTTGCGGCTCTTACAAATGGGTGCTAACCTCGAGCCCGAACTTGAGCTCGAGCCCGAGCTAGCCGTAAGCCAAAGCCAAAGCTGAAGCCAACGCCAAAGTCAGGCCAAGAGTCAAAGTCAAAGAAAATGAACTCTTACCAATTGTGTCACGATTTTCAACTTGCATAAATTTCTGTTCAGCTGTCGTTGCTCCCTCCCACCTCTCTCTCTTTCCAACTCTCTTCAGTCCCATCTGTGATCGTGTGTAGGTGGCCGCAAAAGGTGGAGAGGTGGGAAATGAGTTATAGTGGAGGCTCCTGTCGTGATTCCAGAGGTGATGTGCATATGTTTATATGATTTACACGCCAAGTCTCGCTTGGGGCAGGAACGAGGTGAAGCAGCGAGCGGCAGCAAGTGTGAGATGCTGTAGTGAAGCCATCCCATGCCATCCCAGCCACCAAGTGTAATTGCCAGCGGGCCGTCCAACCAGCCAGCCAGCACATCCCTAGTCGTGTGGCAGGCGACATCGTGTGGGTTTTCCAGGGGTCCACACACAGCCACAAAGCCACAAAGCCACAAAAACCCAAAGCGATAACCATGAATCATAGTGTCTAATCTTTTGGGTGTTTATTATCATGATCTCCACGGAAGAGGCAACGATTGAAAGCTGTCTTTCTGACGCTGACACTCTCTCTAGTTAGATCTTTGTAGTTCTCTGTAGATCCAGCGAATTCTTATATTTTGCAAGACTTTAACCAACGTTGGAGCAGCTCCTGACGTTTCTCTAGCTTTAATCTGTCTCTGTTTATTCAATTCGAGACATTGAAAATGCACCCAAATGTACTCATTGTTCTCCTACTCTAAGGTTCTTCTCTTGACCCAGTTTTTGATATATTTTAACACTTATTCAACCCCTTCTGTAGCCATTCGTTGAACTCACTTCAGTCCTTCGTGTTTCGTTGCCATAAATAATGCCTCGCGTCGCTTGGGAGTCAACTTATCTCTGACACAACACAACTCCTAAATTCAGCTCAAACCCAACCTCCATTTGCATTTTAAAGCCGCTCTTTCCGCCTCTCTCTCACCAAGCAAAAACAAAGCTACAAAAAAGCAAATCAATTAACTTGGGAAACGAAAGCAACGCTAAAATAAGTAATTTAACGTGGATCAAAGGAGAGAGACTAAGAAAGAGACAGGGACTGAGAGAGAGAGAGAGAGAGAGAGATAGAGAGAGAGAGAGAGCGAGGTGAGAGGCTAACAACCTTTGAGGTTCCACAGACCTCCATTAGGTAGGTGCACTTCCCAGTCACTTAATCCCACCAAAAATAGATGTGCAAAAAACAAATCTCCAGCGAAACCCAAATACGAAACAAAAGAGAACTTCGGACTAATGAAAAGTCGCTTTTCCGCGGAAATTGGGTCACCGGTTCGACTCGGCTTGTGACTGTGGGGGGGAAATGAGAGACCTGCCAGACAGGAAATTCCCTTCAATTTGTCGGGGCGGCCGGTCTTGAATGGCAAAACGTGTCGCGGCCTCCCTTCTAATAGTTTTTTATGGGTGGATGGGTTGGGTTGGGTTGGGTGTTGAGGGGGGAGACTGTGTATATTGATTTTCGGTTTATTGTTTGATTTCTGTTTGTTGGGCAGCAGCAGCAGCGGCAGCACCGTTCTGTTTTGGCTGTTGGCTGCACTTGTTGCCATGGCAAAGTGCGGAACGGAACGGAACGAAATGGAATGGAATGGGAGCCCACAACAACAACAACAACAACAGCCAAAAAGCAACTGCAAAGCCAAGCCGTTGCCTAGGAAAGGCTTTTCTCGCTCGCTGTGTTTGGAAAATGCAATTTCCCTAAGGCCACGATTCACATACAGAGCCCAGGAGTTAGGCCAGAACTTTTGCTAATTGAGCGTGGGGGAGCAAGGCTGCGAAATAACATTTTTGTCTGTAATCCGTTTAGGGTTTGACTTGCTTTGGCTTTACGAATGGTTTACGGCAGCAACTTCACCTGAGAAACTTAGGCAAAACAGTTATTCCGCTAACCATTCATCCGTTAACTTAAACAGCAGACAACTGAGAGCTTCCGCTCACTCTCTCTTAAGATCAGAAAGAGAATCAGACAAGACAACGAGAACCCATAGATCTTTAAGTTATTTAGAAGCTCTACTTACTGGAGGGAATAGATTTAGAAATTCACTAGACAAAAAGAAGAAACTTTTAAGGTGAGGTAAGATAAAAGTCTGCCATATATTTACACATTTTTAAGATTTTCTGCTAAAGGAATTGTAGATCTATCTTCTGCTGTCCCCTTTTCCACATGAGACCCAGTCCGATGTACTAGCTCTTCCCTCAGTGTACTATTTCGTACATGCTAATCTCTCGAGCAAATACAAATTGTGGCTCCCAGCCTCTCAGGTAGCTTGGAAAACAGCCCAGGGAAATGGGTCGGCCATGGGTCTCTTTCTGGGAGCCGGCAGAGAGCTCTGGGTTGGAAATGGAAATGAAGGAGTTAAGACTGTCTGCACAACTGACATTTCCGTTGCTTCTACTTCTAGAGCTGCCGCTCTTATAATTGTTGTTCTTTCTGTTTGATTTGTGGTTAACACATTTCACATTCATTGTCTCTCTGTCTGATTCCCTTATTTCTCACTCGCTTCTGTGAGTGGCTGGCTGCAGCTCTTTCCACGTTTCGTTGAATTGTTAACAAACTTTTACTTTGTGTTGCACCTTCTTTACACGACTTTTTTTTTGGTGAAAGTTTTGCGCCTGACAAAAGCCCTAGACCCAATCTATGAATATGGGTCTATCTCTGCCGCTGCCTAGCCCAAGCTCCTCCTGTCTCCCCCTGCCTACCCTGCCTCTTGCCAGTAGTTTTTCTTTCTCGCTCATAGTTTGCAGTTGGTATTTATCTTTGCGTTTTGACAGGCCACCGTGCAACATGCGGCAACTACGACAAGTTGTGCAAACAACAATCAAACTGCCAACGCCCTCAGAGCTCACCCACAGCCATAGAACCCCTCCGCACACCCCACCCAGCTCGTTCTTCCGTTTATTTTTCCTGCATTTCATATGTGTGTCATGAGACATTGTCACTAAGGGGGTCATTGCTGAGGGGGTGGGTGCAGAGTGGACCCTTCTAAAGGGGTTGGGGGCACGAATATCCTCTTTGCTCTCTCTTGAAAGTTTGTTCTGCGGCCAGCTGTTGTCTGTCCCACTTTGAGGGGACACTCTATTCGCTCACTCGTTTCCTCTGCTCCAGAACCAGCCCACCCCAAACCTCTTTTTCTGCTGTTATTTTTCATGGCAAAGACCGTTATTTACATAACATGTGCTGTATTCTACACGGTACATGCTGCCATTTAATCATTTAAGCAACAACCATCTTCCTCCGCTTGATGGGCACCGTTCATGTCCCACCATTAAGTCCCTAATTGTGACATGAGCAAAGCTGACAAGGATGAGTTACTGCAGCCAGAACGAGAATAATCGCAATCGAAATAAGAGCTTTTACTGTAGCAAAAATCGAGAATATATCCACAAAAATATAGCAATAAAAGTGGTCTACCAATCGAACTCTGCTCAATGACCACATCTAAGGATTACTTTTCATCAAATAAAGTTCCACTTAAAGACCACTTCGGCATTGCTTTGTCACCCAAAACGTTGGTTACTGCTGCGGGGCGGAGTGGCTGGGTGGCTAATGACGATGATGGGCCGGCCCATTGTCGCGACCGTTCATTGACGAGCGCAAATTTGCTTGCACTAATTTTTGCGATGCGGCAAAAGTCACGCGAAGAGTCAACAGATGGAGCGAGGGGGTAAAAGAGAGATGGAGATGATGCCTTCGGTCGATTCAATAAAGTCATTAGCTAAAGTAGCCAATGCCTTGTGGGACATCCATGAGAAAGAGCGACCGACCTGCGGTTCACTGGGTTGGCAAATGGAAAGTGCAACGAGGCGTCGAATGATACTGCTGCTGCAGGGGTTCCACTTCCACTGTCTGCTGCACTGCCTGCTGAACGTTGGGCCAGTGGAACATGTCAAGATTTTTGTGTGTGGCTCGGAACTAGTTTGCATCTTGGTTGATAATTATCCAATTAAAATCCCATAAGAGCAAGCAAAGCACAAATTACAATTTTAGTTAAAGGATAAAGCACCAAAAATAAAATGCAAGACTCCCACTATTTTCTACCATGTTTCAGCCCTTTAAAATCTCTTTCTGTCGTTCCTTCTAGCTCTTTTGATTGTCAGATTTGCCGATACTGATGAATGGAGCCTGTTTTGTGGTCTGCTTTTGTGGGGGGGAACTGCTTGCCGATGTAGTCGATAAATCACGTGCGTTGCTCATCTTCATTCAGCGATTGAAAGTGTCAAAGCAGAGCCCACGGCAAAGGCTGCCATTGACATGGCTCAAGCATTTTTGGCCTATTAATTGAATAGACAAATGTTTTGTCGACAAGAGTTGCGTTTATACTGGGGTAGCACTTCCGTAAAAACGAATGACAGGCAAGGCACTTGTGGGGTGTGGATGGACATACACCAGGGAACAGGACATTGAATCGCTTTAGTTATGAATTTATACCGCAGAAAGCGTTGCACTCAAGAGTTTTGTTTGTGATTTATTCGCGTTAATGAAATTTCACCAACAATAAATTCAAATTATATTCCACAAAACCAGAGAAACAATCGACTGGCAGACATGTTTTCTCCCTGAGAGAAAATCAGATATGCTTAATGCAAATATTTTTTTATAACTATAAATAAACATAACTCCCACATCCCACAAATGGCATCTCAGGCATGACGTTAATCAGTCACAGCTACGAGATACGAAAAACAAGTTTTCATTGTGTGGGAGAGCCAAAGGTTAGCGAAAATAAAACGAAGAAAACAAAAAGGCCTCTAATGAGGCTGCCCCGCCGCAAGTACTTCAAATGGCAGTCCAAGAACGCAAGAAGTTAACTTCTAGCTCTGAATGTGTGTGCACATAGCCATAAGATACACATGCAAAACTCGTATCGCACATTTGTATCTTTGGGCTGAGTCATACGACCATATTGTCGCCCTTTTGAATGTAATTCAATTTGTGTCTCATTCCAGTTATTCAGTTATTGAACCGGTTGCCACTCGTACTCGTAAGCGTATTGTCTCCAGTATTCGGTATTCGCGCGCTTCTTCATTCACTTGGTTTATGACTGCGGATACCCTGTTAATGTACAGGTACGGTGGGTATATTTTACTATAAGCAATAGGAATAAGATCAATGATCCGAGCACATGGATTAAATGAAAGGCAGGAAGGAATACAGCGCTAATGAGCAATCCAATAGATGTCTACATATTTATACATATTTCTACATACATTTTTACATTATAAAATGTGAATGCCAAAATACCGGGCATCCCTTAGTCTAAACATATCTTTCTTCTCTCTTTTCTTTCATCTCTGCTTTTGGCATATTTTAATTTAATTCATGCGTTTCTTATGGTCCCTGCTTCTGTATTGTTTGGGCGACCGCGGTGCGTATGCACAATTAAATTATGTCGCAAGGCAAGTCACATTCCTTTTGCCCATAAAATGCGTAAGAATTAACAAGAATGAGAATTAAAAACAAAGTTCAGGCGCGGCTTAGGTTCAATAACCTTGACCGCGAATATTGTTCGGTGAAAGAGGAGAAGGAGGAGAAGGAGATTAGGCTTCGCTTTCTTGGCAAACCTTTTTGGGTTAGGCCCTTAACTTTTAATTGGTTGTAAATTTCCCACAAATAATTTCTTATTATTAAAGATGAAACTTACTTTAATTATATTTTATAAATCCATATCAATCAGGGAAATTCTCTTTTTTATGCTGCTATAATCCATGGCTGTGAAATTTCGAACGATTCAAAAAGTTTTTCAATCTGCAATGGAGGAAAAGTAAGAGATTAAATGTTGGGAAAAATTGAAGTAATTTTTTTTCAGAGATTCAAATAAGATTACAATTATTATTTATCCGCGACTCTACCTCTCTGTATAGGTAAACTTTATTACGTTCGTTGGATAATTGAAACTGAAATCATCTTTAATCACTTCCCTTAGTTAAACGATATAACTAACAACTGCAGCAATAACAGCTCTTATCAGGCAGGCACAGCGGCAATCGTGCCTTGAATCGTTCGGAGTCGAAATTGCATGGCAATTACCCCAGAGACCCAGACCCGGGGGAGGCCCAGGCCCAGACCCAGAGCGGCAGTCATCGGTTAAGAAAATGTTCAACAAAATTTGTATGCCAAGTTGCGCGCAACAGCAACAGCAATGACAATGGTTTGGTTTTGGTTAATGGAACGCCCCCGCCAGTGTCTCTCTCTACAAGCCACAAAATTGCGTGAATCACGTTAGTCGTCGACTGCCGTGACAATGGGTGAAACCGCAATCAAAAGTACTTAAAACTCTGCTTCTGAAAGTTGACAAACCAAGTGCCGCCTGCCTACTTCCAAAAGTATTTGAAACTGCTACGTTGATGGCTTTCTAATTTCCTCATTGCCACATCCATTTATGTCAGCGTAAAAAACACTTTAATTAAAGTCTTGCACTTCATATGAATTATAATTGACCCCCAAAACAGCAAAGCAGAGTCAGAGTATGGTGTCTGGAGGGATCTAGGGTTGAGCAAGTCCAAGCATTTAGGCTTGACCTCTTCAAACATTTTTGTGTGTCGATTGAGCACAATTGGGAACCACCCAAAAAAAGAATTGGGTGAAAATTCTTTCAACTGATAGATCAATTGATGGGGGAATATGAATAATTATAATTTATTTAGTTACAATAGGAATAAAAAAATCAAAAATAAGTGAATAAAAACTTAATCAAATTTGATTGAACCTTGCTTGGATATAATTTAATGAAAATCATGTTATAACTACTAATTATGCCCAAAATGATTTTCTTACGTCATTAACAAAATTCTTAGCTAAAAAACAATTCATTTTTGGATGGCATGTTCAAATGTCATAAGGGAAACAATATAATTAAATTTAAATTACACAAATTACTTGTAAGATCCACCAATTATATGGTACACATTCTAGAAACTTAAAACGAGGTGTAATATCGTCAGAAACAGGAAACAAATAATAATTATAATGTCAGAAAGATCTCCATGAATAGAACAGCGCAGAGAATTAATTTTTTTGTTTGAAAATGAAAGAACTTTTGGCAGTCCATTAAATAGAGTTCCACATCCAAGTCAAGAGCCGCACTTTCGATAAAAGCCTCACCCCTAGATACTATACGGAACTAAAAGCTTCCGCTCGATTTTTTACCTAATTTCCTGTTCAACAATTGCAGAAACAGCTTCAATACCGAATCAATGCAACGGTAACTCACACCAAGTCCACTGCCATAGACAACAACAAATTTCTAAAAACGACTAAAGAATACCCATTATTCAGCATTGGAAATTCCGCATCAAATAGACAATAGCAGCTCTTCTGTATTTGCGTTACTGTTACGTCGCTGATGTGCGTGATCATCATAAAAAAGGTGCAATAGCTTTTACACTGTTCATTTTATTATCTGTTAGAATCCGCATTCTTCTGGCTGTTGCATAAATCCCAACAAATTAAATATGCCCCACGAGTACGAGTACAGGCTATGCACCAAAAAGAGATGGAGAATATCCATGTAATCAAAGATAAAGCAAAGCCAGACTCAATACATGTACAAAAGAATCGCTGAACCGCAGCCTCCTGCCAACACTCAAACGCTCCCTCTCCCACGCTCTTCCGCACACAGATGGCCAGAGTGAGAGAGACAAAGAGGACACTTGAATAGCTGCATAAATTTCAATTAAATTGCAGCAAAATAAGAAGAGGCAATAAGCAACTTTCGGCCAGCGCTGAGAGAGTGGACAAAACTCTATTACGATAGCACTAATTACGCAGTCTACACACACGCGCACGCAAACATGTGTGTGAGCGCGATCTGAAGAGAACTCTGCAAGAGAGAATGCAAAAGAGACGAGCAGAAAAGCTTGGGTTGACCATGACGCTGACTGCGCAGTCAGCGAAACTGAACAGTGGGTCAATCGATTGCTGAAGTGGATGGGAAGTGTGCTAAGCTATTACACAATACAAATCATCAAATAAACTTTTGGGTCTTTTTTAATATATAACTATAGGAACAACTTTCCCAATGACTCGTTTCACAAAATCTAATTTGAAAGGCACCTCATATCACTGCGGTTTGTCATAGACCAGCCCCACTGTGCACCAAGCCGTGCCTGTTGCGCATGCGGGTCTCCCGCTCTCTCGCTACTTCTTGCTAGCTGCACAAAAAGCTGACCACGCAAGTGTGACGTCGCCTGTCGCTGCTTGTACTGCCTCTGTTATCTCTATTTGCATACACTTCCACAGGGTATTCACGGTTGAATCATACATAAGCTGGTGCAAATATTGACCAAAGATCAGAATATCAAATCAAATATAGCATAAGCACGTATGAATTTATGGGGAAAATCTGTGTGAGAGAAATTATTTTATTTGAAATCGGTACGCGTAAAGGGTGTTCCTAAAGCCAAGCTTCACTTCTTCTTTTTGCTGCCATTTGGCCACTCAACCAAAGCTCTGGACACACAATGTCGACGGTCTGCCCATGTTATGTAAAATTCAAATATCTGATAGGCGTGGCCGCTGAATAAAACAAAAATTCTTGAACACGCATACGCATACACGTAATACAGGGTACAACAATGAAAAGCGCAGCTAACAAAAACATGCGAGCAGCACACACCGGTAAGAGTGCAGTGGAGTGGGTGGAAGAAGAAAAGAAGAGCGAGCAGCAGCAGAAGAAGAAGGGACCAGTTTTGGAGGGCTAACATAACGGTGGTTAACGTCACCTACTTTTCACTTGGTCTTTTCGGTTTCTACGTTTTTTGGTAGAAACAAATACCTTACGTATGTGTGCGTGTGTGTGTTTGTGTGTTTTATTTCCCTCTCTAACTGTTATAACCGGTTTATGCTTTTTGTTGTTTCAGTGTCTGTTTTTGTTGAGATGCATTGAAAACGAAATTTATTTTGAAGTGAAGTTTCCGTGAGGAGCGGGCGGTGTGAGATGGGAGATGCCGAGAGTGGAGAGGTTTCCGAGCCCCCTGCGGAGTTTTGGCCGAGTTTTCATTTCTTGAACCAGGTGCACATTATTACCAGTTTTAATATTAGTTTGGTTTATGTACTAAAATATGTACTAGATTTTTCCAATGAAACTTGTGATGAAATCTGAAATATTTTCAATATTTTCTCTATTTCTTAGCTTGACTCGAACTGCAAACAACCAGTTGTTCAACTTCCATGCCTATTGCATTTGCATACTGCAGCCGACATGGCAGAGACAACCAACTCTACGAAACTTGTTAAGTAATTTAAGCGATAAGACGCCCAAACGTGACCATAACCAATGAAGAAGTTGATAAAGGTGGGGGAAATAATAATAAAAAAGAAAACGCGTGCCAGGGCCAAGTCAAGCCATGTTATATTTGAGCCAGGCAAGCAGCATGGATGATCTGCAGAGGAGGAGATTTTCTGAGGCTTTCTGAGGGTTCAGAATTTAAAAGTCCAAACATACCAGTGGATTTTTATGTGTGTACATCTGTATCTCCTGTTCTTATCTCTGACAGTGTCTCTGGCTTTTAATGGTCGCCATAGAAAACATTAGTTTATGTCTGGATCTTAAGAAGTGACTAAGAAGAACAATCTAAGAGAGCCTGTGCCTTGCCATGGCAGTTGGAGATGCGGAATGGATATGTATACATTCAGTTGTAGTACGCTTCAAAATATGACAGGCTCTGAGGGTATATCTCAGGCTCTATTATATACAGAGTTTTTTATTCTAAAGATAATGTCCGAAAAAAACTCTTATGCAATGCGGAATCGCTTGAAAAGGCTTAAGGAATTGCCTTTTAAATATCATAAGTACCTACACACTTAACTAAAATTCTGAGCAATGAATTCAAATATTATTTTAGTATATTAAATACTTTTGGTCGTTATATGTGCACATTAGGTTATTTTTATTCACTTCCGTCATTTACTTTGCCATTTCTGTTTGTCGCTTTTTTTGGGTGCCACAATTCCAAAAATAGTCACCCTGGCGTGCGTTAGGTACTTTTTATTATCCTGGATTTTATGAGCTCATAAAATACTCCATCGGAAAGCGCCAACAGCTCTCCCAAATGTTCATTGAGCAGGCCAACACTTTCCATCCACTTTGTTAGTGGCTTTTTGCTTGCTTTTGGCTGATTTTACGTAAGTAAGTTGTCCGTCCTGTTCCGTCCTACACCGTTCCTCAAATGTCCTCATTTCCCGATGTTAACTTTAGTTTTTCCTCCATTTTATAGGTCACTTCAGTGCGGATTAGGTCAGAGGACGACAGGGCTGCACCCTGCTTGCCTGCTGTTTCGGCCAAAAAGGTTAAGTTGGTAATTAAATTTGAGGTCAGTTTTCAGTCCCGATATCTAAATGTGGTTGTTGGTGTTGGTTCTGTTTACCGAGCTTGGTTTGTGAAAAGCTTTTTATCTAAGAGCACGCGAAGCGAATAGCAAATTCCCTTGCGTGTCTGATTGTCATCGCTCCCCTTCCTCCCTGAGAGTCGTAAATATAGTTTGTCAATCTCTCGCTTGGCTGAGCTCTCTGATGAGGAAGGTTAAGATGTTGGACACCATACGACGGAAGTGCTTGCCGGGTGGTTCATAAAGGGATTTCTTAAACAAAACATCAAACTCCTTCTCAACTTTTTTTTGGGGTGGATTTTTGACCAAAATGATGTCAGCATTACAGGTTGTTTTTGTGAAACTTGTTTCCACGCAAAGTACTGAAACCTTTTAATACAGTTAGAACCCAATTTAATCCTCCACTTAAACATTCTTCTAAGCCAAAAACTCTCGCCAGTGTTTGTGATCTGTAAATATTTATATAAAGTATCCCCAACAGCTGCACTGCGACACTTTTGTGACAAATACTTTGTTTTTTTCTCCGCAACCCAAACAAAATTAAAGCTGAGGCAGAATTGCGACTTTTTTAATTGCTCCACAACATTTTCCTAATTAGGTTTTACAGGGAGACGTTTTGTGGCGTGGCAGAGGGGCCGGCTGAAACCCTTATCACAACTTGCGAAATTTTCTCAAAGCGAGGGAAAAGTTTGCATATTTAAGTTAAAGTCTGTAAAACCTTACTTCACCCCTAACAAACCCCCCCACCCGTCCATACCACCATGACACCTGCTGGGTGGGGAGGGAGGCTATGGCGTGACGTGACTGAAAGTCATTTAAACTGTTTCACTCGGTACTGCTGTTGTTTTTGTTGCGTTGCTGGCATAATTATTTTTATGAATTTCTATACCCAGTTGTGATGGGTTAAAGGAGTAACTTGGATGGAATAGTAGGAAGAGGAGTCTTAAATGGAACACACATGATATGATTAAATCTTGAATACTATGAGAAATTGCTCAATTATTCAACCACATAAATAAATCCAAAAGTCTGCGAATAATCCACATTTCTAGGGAGTTTCTATCGCACCATCAAAGACTATCTTTTCTGAGTGCATAGTAGGTATCCCCATAGTCGTAAAACTTAATTCTATTAGCTGTCCCAAAAGCGTCTTGTAAGAGTTGAGCTATGCAAATAAAATTGCAAGCGAATGTTGCACTTGCAGAGGCGTTCAAGGTGAGTTTTTCCAGCATTTATGTTGCGCAGTGTTGTGTGGTGCGGGGCACTGAAGTTGCAATTCTGTTTTCGGAATTTTGAATGAGCTTCGTGGATAAGACATTTAAATGAGGTTGGGGCTTTGGGTGGGAAAACTGTAAGTTTTAGGGCAAACAAATAACAATTCTTGGGGTGGTACCAAACCTAGAGGATTTTATGAAATCGAGTATTGTATATTTTCAGTCATAAACTCTCAACCTTGTATTGTTTTTGCTTTTAAGTAATTAAATCCGTTTACTTGATTCCCAATAAATACTTTATGACTGAAAGTTTATATTAAACTACACGATGATGAATATGAACAGGCTGGAATTTCGAAGCGTCTCAAATTTTTGTTTAGAACTTATGGCGTTGTCGCGCACCGTTCCATCTAGAATCAACATCCAAGCCGTATCAATATAATCTGAATCACGTTCATGGATAAATAGATCGGAATCGGTGCAAACACTTCTTGGAATGGAACGGGGTATGGTCTTTGAGAGATACAAAGATAGCGCTCGCTCGAGTCATCGGATAAGCGGGAAACGATATTTGCGGTCCCCAGCAGAAATTCCGATTCTAAAGATTGGACAAGGGGCAAGGGGAAAGGGGCTGGGTTGGCAAGGGGTAAACAAAGTCAAAAGCAAGGCAGAAAATGCCAACAAACCTGTACACGGCCTGCCTCTGCTGCAGCGCTGTACGCGCGGGCTAACCTGTTGCCGCTGACAGCGACGACGACGCCGACGCTCAAGAACTTCGACTTGAAAGCTTGTGTTGTTGGTTTTGTTGTTGTTGAAGCCGCCGCCTTTTTGCATGCGCAAAAAGAGAAACACACACACAGAGAGATCGGCGATCGAGAGAGCCACCGCACAAATACACTCGCGTTGTGACAGGTAAGCGAAACACGGCTTAAAGAAGAAGAAGCAATAATGAATGATCGTAGCTTCAGGCGCTCCTCTGCGTGGGCAGGAACCAGAGCATGGGCATGAGCTTAGCAAAACACTTTCTTCGCTTTTGAGTAAACAATTTCACACACTCACACGCGCACAGTTACTGAATTTGTGCATCTTTTGATGTGTTGTATTATTTATTCATTAATAACAAAAGAGTCCGTGTGTTAAAGCTGCCGCCGCCCGCGTCAAAGTTTTTTACGTTACTTCCCGAAGTGTGACCGTGGATTTGTGGACCAAATATACCTTCGACCCCCAAAGATATACGGAAATATACCTTAAATATACCGAAAAAGCTTATTTAAAATAAATACACAAATCCAGCTGAGAAATATTGCATTTAACCCTTTTGGCCCAACCAAATAAAGTATGTCTCTCAAATTTCCGAACAAGCTTTCAAAACCAGGTTTTTTTTTAATTTTCCGGGAAAGTCTATTTGAAATCTTGAGAAGCTCTCCCGACCCGATCTTGCGTTTCAAATATGAGCACAAAAAAGCACAAAAATATACCAAAGTCTACCACTGGTAATTACACATTTCCTACTTATCAATTACATTTCAGAATCCACAAGCGCCACCTGTTAGTCAGCAGGAGAAAAACTAGTTAGATATATAGATATCGAATGAACCCAATAAAAATGAGTATTTATACTAAGCAAAATTGTTTCTTCAATCGGATTAAATAATTGTTTCAGTGCTAAAAGTCTTTAAAAGGTAGTAATATTAAATGGAACATCAAAACGAGACAAATAATTTAAAATTACGTATACCGTACAGTATATTTTAAAAATGCAACGACATATTTCGGTATATTTCCGAGGGTCTGTCGGTCACACTATGAACAATCCAAGTTGCACAACAGAAGAATTTAAGATTTGTTAATTAAATTGGGGTAAATATGCTGCGTGCTGGCTGCCAATTGTTGACGCAGTCCACCCTGCCCGCTGCCAAGACGGGCAGCAATGGTTTCGCCCTGGAGTTTGTGCGATGGCGCCGGAAGCCGCGCTGGCTGCCGGTTGCAAAGAGCAAAATGTTCCGCGTGCCAGAGCGCAAGAAGCAGACGGAGGAGGAGCGCACCGAGCTGATGCGCCTGCACAACCAGTATAAGTATGTGTACCACAGGCAGTTACCGTAGAACTATTAACATACCTTCTCCCTTTTGCAGAACCCAGCTGCGGTCGGTGCGCCAATTCCTGCGCGAGGAGGTCGTTCGGCACGAGGAAACCTCCACGGCGGATCACATTGTACTCACACCAGAGCAGGAGGAGGCCGAGTACCAGGCCTTGTTGGCCGCCAACGCCGAATGGAACGCCACAATTGCAAGGGAGCGAGACCAGCGCCTGGCCAAGGAGCGCGACGAGAAGGTGGCCTACGTCCAGGAGCGACTCGAGGCACTCAAGCTGCGCGATGAGGAGCGTCGGGAGCGCGCCAACGAAGCGGTTCTACGCGAGATCGAACGCTCAAAGACATACATAACCCGGGAGGGCCTCACTGCGGCCATCGAAACGGCGCTGGCCAATCCCGTGGATCCCAATTTCGCCATCGACATGTCCGGCAACCTCTACCAGGGACGCACCAGCTTGGAGCTACCGAATGCCGCCCCAGAGCCCGATCAGCAGGCCTTGAGTAATTAGCTTTTGTCTTAGTTTCTTGTTACATTAAAAAAAAATTGCCGTTAAGCTTCGAATTTGCTTTCATTTAAGATAATTTTAACGTTTTTTAAAGCACTGTAATTGTCAAGGCGTGGTTTAGCAATGAAACGTACTGTTTTGGGACCAGGAAAGATTCAATTCAAGATTGTAATCTAAATTCCTTTTGATTCTTATATCAATAATTTCCGTTTTAATCACTGGCATGCCATCATTAAATCCGAAACGAGCTCTGATCTAAGACTTTGATCTTTCATTCGAAAATTCCTCTTTGAAAGCTAATCCAAACCTTATTTAATTGATTCCCAAAGCTTCTTCTATGCCTACAGCTAAAGAGCAGTTTTTCCTTTCCAAATTCCAAAACATTTTCGTATTATAAATTATACAATTGATAGCTCCAAGGGCTGTTTCCGCGACGTTCTAAGAGTTCTTACATGCATTATGGATGCATCCGTAACGCACACGAAATCACACACACATTCACTTCACTTTATAAAATCTCAATATAGTTTACCTTTTATGCACAACTAAGGGGGGGTTTTTAGATTAACTTAAGACTGAGGCACGGCCTATATACATATTATTACATAATAATCTACTAAAAAAGGAAACACGGGAAGATAGCAGAGGGGCGAGGAACAGAAGATCGATGATAGCATGCAAAATTAACAAAGGGATGGCAGCATCCGTTCCAGCAATGCTACGTAGTCGGTGGCCGCATGGATGTGCTGGGGGCTGTGCTGACACTACGCTTGGCTGCGTCCTGCTGCTCGAAAAGATGCACCCAGTCGGGTGTGGCCTTGATCTTGGCCTGAATGGGGCCTAGGTTGATCATGTTGCCGCTGCGCTGCTCGCGATTGGCAGTCACCGACATGAGCTCCTGCAGGAAGCCCGACTCCAGGCCCATGTCCAGGTCGAAGCGCGTGTCGCCCAGCAGCAGCTTGACACGTCCCGATCGATACCTAAGTATCTTGCCGATTTGGCCCTCCTCCAGCTGCCGCAGCACACTTGGCCTGGGCGCACCCGTGGAGGCTGGAGCAGCGGGACTTTTGGGCTCGGTTTCCGAGGCGGCAGAGGGGACGTCCTCCTTTTTGGGTGCGTCCCTAGACCCTTCCTCCGCCTCATCGGTCACGCAGGGCAGGACATCGGGCAGCTGCATCAGAAATATCTGCGACTGGGGCACATCGAGGAATCCCGCGATGCTGCGCGGATATCGACCATACTGGAGCGGTGTCTCTTCCATCACCGCCGTCTGGGCGGACACATGGAGCTGCTGCAAGTGCTGGGCCATGGCGAGCGGGTCTGAAATGCAAGCGAACGGCATTAGCCACTAAAAGTTCTTGACAACGGCCAGTTACCTTGCTGATTTGAGCCTAAACTGGCATCTTCCTGCTTCACAATGGGCTTCTCTGTGAGCCACAGGCCTGGGAAATGGAATGTCGTGGATGCATGGGATTAGCATGGAGTCATGGATGCAGCCAGTGCTGCCAGACTTACCTTCCCTCAGGGCAATCGGCTTGAGGGCCAGCTCAGTCTTATCAGCCTCGGTATCACTGGCGTCGGAAGCGTCGCCCTCGCTGGCATCGGACTCGCCCAGCAGCGCCCTAACTCGCAGCGCTTGTGCCTTGTCATCCTTGCGGTCGGTGCGCTTCCGGGTCACCGCCTGCTCCTCGCTCGCCCGCGCATATGCCGTGCCATTGCCCGTGGACCTGCGCACCTGTGCCTCTCCAGCGCCCTCCGAGAACACGCCCGTGGTCTGGATCAGCGTTGAATTGCCGCCACGACCACGTGTTGCTCCCGACGCAGTGCCGCGGCCACCGCGCTTTCCACCGCGTGCCTGCGTAAAGTCCTTGGATGTTTTCACATTGCTGAGGAGTACAATAAGACGCTATAGCCACTGGGGGAATCATCTCCAAGGCGACTGTGTACTCACACGTTCTTATTCCGCACCGCGTTCAAGTTGGGGGCGAAAACCTTTTTGCTGCCTGCACCACGTCCGCCCAGAGTGAGATCTCTGGCAGGTGTCAGGCGGGTCATGCCGTTCAGCATCTCTAGGGGACGTGCCGCGCCTGCTCCACTGGCGGTGCTGTTGTGGCCGCTGACGCCAGCGACTGGCGTTGGGGGTGGCCTCGTTGTAGTTGCTGTCGTGGCGGTCATTCGCTTAGCTGGCATGGCGGCCCATGTGCGCCCGCGACCCTTTCGCAATGCACCAAAGGCACCTCTCAAAAACTGGGTCGGTTCGGCGTCGTATGTATTTAATTAATAATAATGCAATTTTTTAGTTTTAGGTTATCAGCTCATGGCGAACATCAGTGTGACCGCGGATTTATCGATAAAATATACCGCAAGACTCTCAATCATATACTGAATTAATCCATGTCATTTTCAAAATATACCGTAAGTCTTAAATCATTTTCCTTGATTTTGCTATTCTATATACAATTATCAGCTAGTTGGGACACTTAGCGCTAGAACTATAATTTCATCCAACTCATCAATCACTTTTTCACAGGATTGCCTAGTATCCATAACTTCCTTTTATTGGATTGTTAACAGAATAAGGATCAAACTAAAAAGGTAACCTGATGAAAGGTATATTTACGGTATATTTTAGAAAAGAAGAAGGTATATGCGGTATATTTAATAAATCCGCGGGACACTGGTTGTCGGAGTTTTTCAAAACAAACCCCGAAATGTAAAGAAAAAGCCGGGTGGTGTGCAAAAAACAATAAAGGGGAACATGTCTTCTAAGCGCTTCGGGGCCATGAAGGATTTCGCGAGGGCCAAAAAGCCGAGACTCGATGTGAGCGTGGCCCGTGCATCGTCCAGGCCCAGTCCTCCGCGCAACATCATCGACTTCTGGGACGACGACGACGATGTCATCCTGATGGCTACACAGTTGGCGGAGGCCGAGATCGAGGCGGAGGCCAAGCGCAAGGCGGACGCCACAAACATCACGGCTGTGGATATTACATTCAGCGAGTTTGCGCCCGTGCGAGGCACGACCAGCACCCAGCAGATGTTTCCACCTGCAGCGCCGCCGAAGCAGAAGACTTCGAGCATTGACATGGATGCCATATTCGGGGACGACGAGGACTTTGATTTCCTGGCCATGGCGCTCACAGAGGATGTGCCACCCCCTGCAACCCCGCCTCCGCCACAGGAAAGGGCAAAGGCTGGCCCGACGACGACAAGCATCACCATTCAGCAGACAAAGACACAGATTACGGCGACCCAAACGCGGCAGCAAGAGCACCAAATAAAGTTCCTACTGGATCGCATAGAGTCACTCAAGAAGGACAATTCCAAGCTGCAAAAGGATCTGGGCGACAGCAACGAGCGCACGGAGATCAAGTCGGGAGAGGTGAGTGTCTGTAAGCAATCCCCTGCCTTCTGTGCATCATCCAGTATGCCACTTGCAGGTCAGTCTGCTGCGGGATGAACTGAGGCATGTGCGCCAGCAGCTGCAGGCCAGCAAAATGGAGAAACTGGCACTGGCCGAAGAGACCAACAACAACTGCAATCAGAAGGTGGCCGAGGCGGCCAAGCAGATCGCAGCAAAGGAAATCGAGCTGACGATGAAGAATGCAGAGAACACAAAGCTGAGGATACAGCAGCAGGCACGTCGTGCACACGATAAAACCATGAACGGGAGCATCAGTATGCTGCAGGCTGCCGCCAATCCCTCGGAGCAGCGCGCTCTGCTGCGCCTCCACAAGCTGAATATCCACCAGACAGTGCCCCGGCTGATGGCGAACAATGCCAGCGTCTATGAGTACAGCGAGGCGCAGGAGAAGGGCAAGAAGCAGGGCACACTCTTCGAAGTGGAGCTCAAGCAGCTGCTCCTCAACTACGCTCAGCTGCAGTCCCAGCCGGAATCTGTGTACAGTCTGGTCCAGCGCATCGTCTGCTCTGTGCGGAAGGTTTTCTCTGAGTTTGCATCGTATGCCCAGGGGCTGGAGTTTCCCCACAACTGCATGTTGTATCCCCACAATCCTTATGTACTACACACACATACCAGCGTCAGTCGCCACTCGCTCGCGCAGCCTGGCGCTCTGTACACCAATGAGCGGGCTCTGCTCCTCCGTCGCTACATCGCTACCTTGGCGCTGATCTGCGGGCAGCAGGGCAAGATCGCTCGAGCAGTGCTCAGGCAGCGGCACAACGATCTGTGGTTGCTGGAGCTGGCCATCGATGCGGTTGTCAAGCTGGGTTTCTCCTACGAGGTCAGCGAACACTTTGGTCTGCTCGAGGCCACAGCCTCGCTGCTGCTCAGCTTACTGCGTGCGCAACAGCAGGAGGAGCAGCGCGTGGAGGAACTTTTGGTAGAGCTGCTCAAGCAGTTGGTCTTCACTCGGCCCAGTCCCTGGGTCTTTGGCGAACTCAGTGCCTGCCTGCTGGCCTGCCTGAAGCAACCGCAGCTGCTGGCGCGGCTGTGCGTTAACAGCCCCAAGAGCTGCTTCATCTCGGACCGTGTGCGGAGCGTCTACCGCTTCGGACCCAGCGCCTGCCTGCTGCAGGTCTACGCTGGCCTGCTGGAGCTGTGCTTCTTCAGCGAGACGGCTCTGCAGGTGGCCCATTTCCAGCTGCTGTTATCCATTGGCGGCAATCACGTGCGCTTCGCCTTTGAGTGCTTCAAGAATCCGCCGGACTTTATACTGGAAATGCTGCCGTTCTTTGCCGATGACGGGGAAGCCGATGCCAATGAGCCAACACTGACCAACAAGTTGAGCAGCAGCTCCACGGCAGCCGTGCATGGCTCGGCATCAAATGGTTCCTGCACGCTGACTTCCTCGGACTCGCACTCCAACTCCAACTCCAGCTCCTCGCGCAACAATTGCGAGTGCTATGTGAAGCTCTGCCTCAGCGTGGTCACGCTTGTCTTCCAAATGATGCACCAATGGATGCTGCATCAGCGGAAAATAGGTAAGTGCTCGCTGCACTTGCCAGAGATTGAGATTTTGTTTGAATTTTCTGCGTTTTCCAGGTACCGAACAAGTGGGTGAAATGTCTCGCATTGCGGTGCATCTGCTGACCCTTGTCTTTCATGAGTATTATCTGACCTGCCTGTTCCGCGACTCTGAGGAAACAACGAAGCATTACCTCAGCCTCATCTGCAACTGGTGGAGCGAGCACTCGGGCCTGCTGGGATTCCAGCCCATTCACTGTAAGTTGTCCATCCAGTAGCCACTTCCTTGGATTAGACTACATTATCTTTTCTATTTGTTTTTAGTGCGCTTGCTAAGTCAGCTTGAGAAATCACATTTCATGCTCAAGCCGCTGCACCAGGAGGCGAATCGCAGCAATCCGAGCAACGATCTGGTCGAGTGGACGCGCATTATCAACCGTGCGGATGCCCGCACCGAGAACGTAGCTCCGCATGCTTCTGATGCGTATAAACTACTCGAAATCGACTTCTTTGGTGGCCTCAAGCGAGTGGATTACACATTTGATTAGTCTTTACTTATTTAGTTTGTAAATTGTAGTATTACCCTAGATAGTCCCAAATAAATTGATTAGAGCTGTGCTAGCTCCAGCAATAACTCGTTGTGTAGTGCAGTAGTTAATAATAGTTCCAGCAATTAATTGAGCGACGAAAGCCGAACGTCAACCAATTTCAAACACAACAGCTGTTCCGCTATTTGACCAGCAACAAGTACGTCACGTTCCGTACGTTTTTCGATTTAACCTTCTTTTGAAAACAATCTAATTCAAGCGAGTCTAAGTTCAAACTAATGGAAAATTTAGGCATCAGTCAGCTAAAACCAAATTTTCAAGGCTGCCAGTCTTAATTTCTCGTAATATTAGGCCGAATTCAAAATAGAGGAATATGGACAGACAACGGTTAGCCCATTGTCGACCAGTGGTTGCTTAAATACACACACGAATCTTATAAAACTTGAATTAGTTAAGGGGAATAAATGGATGTATAACAAGAATATAATTCACAAACCGTTTGAAATGCTCTGCGCTCGCTTCTGTTTTGTTGGAGCGGGGTTAAGTGGGTTAAGTTGGTTTATTTCCTTGGTATATTTTCGGTATTTTTTGAAGGAGATAAGGTTTTAGCAGTAAGTTTTATCGATAATTCCGCGAACGCTCTGGAAGCCGGCAAATTTCGCATTCTTTTGTTTATAATTGTTTAAATTACGTAGATAAGTGTCATAAATGTAAAGTGTGTTGTAGTGTTTTTTTTAGTGTGTTGTTCGTGACGTATTGTGTGTGAAAAGAGACTAACAGCTGGACAGCTGACGTACTTTTCCTAACCATAGCTGTCTCCGAGAGTGGCTTCTTCTATTGCGGCGTCCACGAAAGGTTAGTTAATGTAAACAAATAGTTGTTTGGATTGTGCGCCATTTCCTGTAAATGTGCAAAGCAAGCATTTTTATACACAGACGATGTGCATGTGTGGGTGTTTCGTAGAAATCAACAGGTTCTCTGCTTTAGAGGGGCCTGTTCGTGTACAGTAATTGAGTTTATGGCAATTGCACGGGCACCAACAAAATGTACTGCCCACACCACAACCCTTGGCTGATTTGTCCAATTATTCTGCTTTTCCCCCACGCCACTTGTTGCTCTTTGGCCTATCATTCCCTCCACCCATTTATGGCCTGTGTCTACTCAAATGATCGTAATGTTTGGTGCTTTTGTTTGTCTGACTAACTGGGGGGTCGCTGATAAGCACCCACAAACACATGTCGTATAACGATTACGCGGTAACTTTCGTAACGCGAGTGTTGTGTCTTGTGTCAGTCGAGTGGAGCAGTTTGCCAGCAACGGACGGGGCCATGGATCCTCCACAGAAGTCAGATTACAGCGCGGAATACTTCGAGAAAGCTCTGGCCAAAGCTCACATAAGCCCCAATTTAAGCGTGCAAAGCTTTCACATCGAGGCTCTAAGCCAAAATGGAGAGAACTTTTGCAGCGTCATCTACCGCGTGGTAGTGGAATTTCGCAAGACAGCCGACGGCCCCCTGGAGACGGGGCGCTACATCATCAAGGATTTGCTGCCTGTTGTAGCCGAGCTGGGGACCAACGAGAAGACCATGTTTGAGGAGCTGCTGCCAGCCATGGGTGACATACTCGGAAGTGCCCCACACAGTCTGGGCGAGCACAAACTGGGCGCTGAGTGAGTCATTCTGTCATATTCCATGCTGTGATTTCTCTGTATTTATTTCTTTGTTTACTTAAGTTGCCTCTTGGCAGATGCAACCAACGGCAAGGAGGTGTACGTGCTGGAGGATCTTGGCGCTTTAGGCTATGCCTCAATGGATCGCTTTCGGGGTCTGGGTCTGGAGGATGCACAGATTTGTCTGCGAAAGATGGCTCAGTTCCATGCCGCTTCGATGATTTTGTGCCAGCAAAAACCCGAACTTGTGGCTAAGCTTTCGCCCTCACACTATGCCGAGGGAGTGTCGGATCCCTTTGCTCAGCTGATTGTGATCGGTGGAACCGAATACGCGGCCGATGTGCTCTCCCAAGAGCTGCCGCAGATAGCTAAGAAAATGAAGGCCCAGATACCAGAGGAATACTCGAAGCGAATCAGGGCCGTGGTTGATCCCAAGAACTCTGCCTTCAATGTGATTGTTCATGGCGATCTGTGGGTGAACAACATGATGTTCGATCGAAGCAATGGCAATGCCATACTCGTGAGTAGAATGGCCATCGAATCAGGCAACAAAATAATCACTAGAATTCTGTCTTCCCATAGGTGGACTTTCAGAACTGTTTCCTGGGCAGCCCGGCCATCGATGTGCAGTTTTTCTTCTACACCAGTCTGCAATTGGAGGTGCTGCTGCACCAGCAGGATGCACTGCTGCAGCACTACTACCACAGCCTCACCGAGACCCTGAAACTGTGCGGCTATACCGGCTCTGTGCCCACCTTTGAGCAGTTAATGGCTGAGATGCAGCGTTGCTTGTATTATGGCTACTATGCCGTTGCCTGTGAGCTGCCCATCTGTTGCGCCTCCCCCGAGGCCAGTTCGGACTTCAATTTGAACACTTTTGACAACAAACAGGCCTTGGAAACGAAGCGTCGCCAGCTCTTTGCCAGCGAGCGTGTGCGTCAGACGATCAAAGCTGCATTGTTGACATTCGAGCAGCAGGGAATACTGGAGACACCTTAGAAGAAGTGACTACAAATGCATTTTGGGATTGTGCATGCTAATTATATATTAATATAAATAATAATTATGTTTGAGTAAAAAAAAAACTAAACTCAACTCAACTGCATGGCTCAACAGGTTGTCTGGGAGGAAGACAAGTTGAACAGATTCGTAGACATATTTCCAAAAAAATGCATTTACGATTTATTAATCCATTAATTAAGTTGTCCGCGAACCACTCTCCCACCCTCTGTCCGGCTGTCCGGTTGTCCGGCTGGAAGACCCAAAATCTTGATCCATTACTGATTTCCCTGTTGAATGGTTTTTCATGTGAATCGGTTCCGCAGCTTTGCCACAGGCTTTTCGGGGGCTAAGTCCAAATTTTGTATAATTTCACTGAAGGGCCTGGCTCATGGCTCGGTGGAGAGACGGAGCGATCCTGGAACGATCCTGTTACAACAACAACAACAAGAACGAGGAGGGACGTGTGACGTACATCTGCCATCTTCATCTACATCTAGTGATTCTCTCTCTTTTAGTAATTTGAGGGGAGTATGAATATAAATATTTCCTTTATAGATTCATTAAGGAGTGGGGCACTCCACTCCACTCTACTCTACTCATTCCCTTCAGCTGCAGGGTTGGCTTGTTACTCAAGTGTTACTTGTGTTTAGTTATAAATTTCGTTGTCTGCCAAAAGTTTCCTGTGGGGGGTGGAGGCTGAGGCCAAGATTTACGTGTGTGATGCAAAATGCATGGCTGCATTGAGTGCGATAAAGTTGTAGCTTTCTGCTCCCCCAAGTGCCTCCACTGAATATGCAAATCGCTTTGCAGTTGTTCTTAGAAACTTGTCAGCTGCCAAGTGTAAGCCATGGCCAGGCGAAGCGTATCGAGGCGGAGCTTGGCGTGGCGCTGAATCCAAAAAGTGCATTTGACGCCAATGCTACTTTGGATAACTTGCAACTTGTACTGCTTGCAAGTGTTTAGAAAGCAATTTATTGTTTTTGCTCGCTCAGCCAGCAGCCAGCCAATCCCAATCCCATCGAAAGCTTCCTTCATGCATTGAGCCGAGATTTACTTTGGATTTGTTTGTACCTTCCCTCAGCTTTTTGAGAGGGGTACAAATCACACATATCTTCTCAAAAATGTCTTCAGTTTGAACTCCGCAATGTGTCTTCCCTCTTTGGGCAAGAGTTTTTCGTTCCTCCAATGGCAAATGCCAGACATTTTGGCACTGAGACTGGCTGTGGGTCTAGGGGGTTGCTTGCAGGCATTAATTGCATTCTGCAGCATCGTATTGCACTTTCAATTAGTTGCAAATGCCTCAAACGTTGACTGAGACTTGGACTCTGAATCGGAATTGGAATCGGTATTGGAGTCTCCTTCCAACCTCCTTCCGGACCCCAGACAGTGCCAGAACGTAACAGGAAACGGAAGTTAAGTGCTGAGGCGAGGCGTTAAGTAAATGCAACCACAGATGAAAGCAAGAAGCCAGCCTCTCTACGCATTAATTGCAAGGTGACGATGATCTGGGGGCACCCTTCAGACACATTTCAACATTGCAGCAGCCCCACATCCTTTTCCTTGCGGCGCATCTTCTCTCTTTCAAAGTGCAAACAAATGCACTGGCAGCACACGTATTTTGGGGTGTGGTCTCGCCCTTAATGCATTTCAAAATTGATTTATGGGTTTTCTTTTGACCTGCCTCACCTCACCAACGGACTGCTTTCTGTTTGGGTTTTGGCTACGTTCCGTGTTTGTTTTCAAATGTTAATTAAGGTTTACAATTACCCAGGGGTTAGGCCAGGGGGCTGGGAGCTTGGGAGTGGTAATTGAGCGACAGTTGAAACGATTTGTGTGTTGGCAGAAGCTGAGGCTGGTGCTCAGGGAGGGATCCCTGCTAAAATGAAATCTATCCTAGCATTTCTTTCTTGAACTTTTATCAATTAGCTGGCAAAACTACTAGCAAGCCATGGCAGTAGGATTTCTCTCTGTGGCACACAATTAAAAGCAATAAATTTGCACATGAACCATAAATCAAAGTCCGATCATAATCTCCCCTAGCAAACAAATAGAGAGAAAAATCCCCAAAAGCGAAATCCCAATCCCGTTTCCGCTACAGGAACTTCCTCCATTCTGGCTGCTTCGTCGCTACGCTTTCGGGTTTGCTTTGCTTTGCTTCGTTTATTAATTGTACAACTGTCTCCAATCATAATTAATGAACTTTCGGCACATCCTTTGCCGCAGAAAGTCCACATATCCGCAGCACCAACCCAGCCAGCTGTTGGAATGCCAACTAAAACCGATATATAAACACAAATGTTTTTCTTGGCACACCATAAATCTTTCGTTTGGCAAAAATCTGTGCTGCTTGCCTGGGGGGGAATTTCGGTTTCGGTGTCGGTTTGCCTGCCCTCTCCTGGGTCTTCCCTTGGTTTTGTCTTATTTTTGCTGCTTTATCGGAGCTTAATGGTTGGCCTTTTCAATTAGACACATTAAAAGGCTTTACTGGGATTAGGTCAATTGTTTTGGGACAAATTGTGATTAAGTTTAATGCGCAAATTCGATTATGTGAATATTTGGAGCAGGAAATGTGGCAGAAAGGGTTCTTCGGATAGTTCCTCTACATTTTATAGATTTATTTCTTCATGATTTCCTTTATTTGTGTTTAACTAAAACTCCTAAAGAGTCTCTGACAAGTCTCTTAGTGAATGAATATTGAAATATTAGTTAGAATCGAATCGTTAGCAGAAGGAAGTCATTCAAATGTTTAAGAAGCTTAAGCATTATTTTGTCAAGGTTTTAGTTCTTTAGGTTTAATTTTCCTTATAATAATTTATCGGTATTTAATCCCAATTTTCCATAATAAGGCTAATTTCTATACCTGCTCGTTGTCGCATGTGGGCCACTCCGGTACTTGCGGCAGTGCCCCTCGGTCGAGTTTGCCCTTGCAAAAACGTCGACTTGGTGACGCATGGGAAGCCATTTCTGTGTCTCTCTGGAACCTATTCCTTTAGACATTTACATCCCAAATAAATAGCTTCTTAGATGCCGAATCATTAGGGGAAACCAACCTCAGACATACACCACAGAACTAATTAAAGATAGAGCTCTGCTCTGAGAGTAAGCCTGCTCCCATATGGCATGACTTTCATCCGCATGGAGCACTCCTGTGCTCAATGACAGGCATTTCTCTTCACTGGTGCTTAAGTGGAAAATTACATATGCAAATCCCTAATAATTATCAGCGAGTATCTGCAACGAAGCATCCCACCCATTAATTGTGAAAAGGAAAAGCTGAAAAATACACACTGAAATTGCGATAATTTTTCATTTAGTCAAGGCTTTTCCTTAGCTTTTCTGCCACTTGTCAGGCAGTGGCTTGGCTCATTTATCAACACGTTTTGTGTGTGCGAAACGGGAACAAATTTAAATAAATTTCGAAATGATGACAAAAGCTTTTTCCCAGCAATCCAAGTAATTATGCACACATGGCATCCTCCCAGTGTGGTCTCGTGGTCCTTCAACATTAACACTTTCGCCAAAAAATCATCTGAAGGATAAATGGTAGCATCATTAGTCATTGGCCACACACAACCCCTAATCACATGTGCAGCCAACCCCCAGCCACTTTCTGATGGGTATGCGGATGGTATTCGAGATTAAATCTTTCGGCCAGTCCCAGTATTCATATGTAAATTTTTGACTTGCAACAAAGTGTGTATCCTTTTTGGTGTCTATTGTATGTCTCAAATTATTTATTGGGCATCATGTACATTGATTGGGGGAGGAATGGTCGCTTGAGCATCAAATTACAACACATTATCCCAGCGATATTCAAAATTTGTATCTCACTTCAGAATGAAATGAAAATATAGGAAATACACAACCGAATCAACTATAAACTAGCGGCCAAAACTGATGGTAAGAATAAATACATTATGCTTCTGCCAACACGTTTTAATATTGTCCATAAATCCACTTTCAGAACGTATAAAATGGAAGCACCAAAGAAACTCCAAGATATGCCCTTCGATATCCTAAATCGTATATTGAAAATGCTTCAACTTGCTGACCAATGGAACTTGGCCAATGCTCATCCGAGATTCTGCGATGCCTTTGTTGAGCATTCTCGCCATAGATTCACAACATTTGTGATACCCTTGGCCGAACTAAATATGTGTCCATCGGAGATTGTTAGACTGTGCGGTGACACAATGATCCACATTCAAATTCAAGAAATTGCTTATGTTGAGCATTTGCTGCCCTTAATAGAGCGATGCTGCATCAATTTGGAAAAGATTAGCATTCCGACGAGCGCTTATAATTACAAGGCTGTCAAATCATATTTGGATAGAAATCCTGCGCTGATATTCGTTGAGTTGTTGATGAATTATAACGACCACAAATGGGGCATAAGTGAAGCCATCGCCATGTTTGAATCCATACCAAATATAAAGAGTTTGCAGCTACTCAACTTCCCTGGGCATTGTCGTGAGTATTATAAACATTTACCACCATTAATCTGCTAGTAATTATTACTTTGTTTCGATTTCAGTGATTAAAAAGAAGATTAAGGGCTTTGCCAACTTGGAGGAGCTGACTGTCGGCGAATCCGTTCCATATGATTCAGTGCCCAAGTGGCGTTTCGATATTAGTGATCTGTTGCTGAGGCTAAAGCACCTACGTCGCCTGAAAGTTTCAAATAGAATTGTATTCCTAAACAGGAAACTCCAGGAGCCACTCCTCGAAGATCTTACACTCATCTATTGTGATATTAACTTTAAGAAGCCATTTTTTCCCCACCTGTTATCGTTGCGTATCAAAAGATCGTTTCCGTTATCGACCAGAAACCAATTGTTGGGTTTTATTTTAAAACATACCAAGACTCTGAAGCATCTGAAAGTAGTAACAGGTCACATCATTTATGCAGGTGATGGCAATTTTCATGTGAGGATGAATTTGAATGATAGACTTTGTTATAGAACAATTGAATTTAAACAACTGAAAGGTCTTCCAGCTGACTAAAATTACTTAAACGTAACATCTGCATGTATACGTCCGGTTTAGATTATTGTGAATTGGGGTTTTCACTTATTTTTATGATTTTTCGTTCTCCTTTCGTTGATGTGAATCTCATACACCAATCCCTGCTACGTGCTATCCTTTTCTCTTAATACAAGGCACAAATTGGAGAGTAGACAATAATTAGCCAGTGTTAGACAACCCACAGAATCATCTTATGATTCGAAAACTTATTATTTTTTTGTACATTATTTTTATGTATGTTGAAAATTCCAACGCTTTGGATCTTTACGAAGAAGTAAGAAGAACACGTAAGGACTTCCAAAATGGAGGATATAAATAGAGCGACCAGTGTTAAACAATACACAGAATAATGCTATGAGTCGAAATATTTGTATTTTTATTTTATGTTTGCATTGTGTTAAATACTTTGTAGTTTAAAAGCACACAGACTAGGCAACGTACAATACTTACGGACAGCACAAGGTACAAATTGGAGGGTAGCTAAAAAGCAACCAGCGTTCAGTCCCAGTCTTCCGGAAGAAGTTATCTATATTTTAAGTTCCCAAGCGAATTATAGGTAAGAACTTGCAGTGTGTGTAAGACACATATTGGATTCCTTATGGAAACTCCTATGCATAGAAGTTTCCTGTCCATCCTATCATTTTTGTGGCAAGAAAATCGAAAGCAATTACTTAAACTGCTCCTCGCTCTTTACTCATAAAAGAAATATATTCCTCATGTGATTGTTTGAAACCGTTTTCCGTTCGTTACAGAACACTTTTCTTTATGACATTTACGCGAAGCAATAAAAACTAAACAAATCCTCAATGGGTCTTTTTTTATTCTCTTAAATGCTAATGTCCCGCAGTGGATGGACGTGGATCGGGTGGCGGTGGGGGCTGTAAGCAGGGCGACCCAAACTTATCTTTTACGATCCGCACAGACATGAGCCAAAAAACTAATTACCTCAAACCAAGCATCTTTTATGGTCGTCGGTGTGTGTGTGTGTGTGTTTGGTTTCCTTTCGGGGCACTTTCAATATAATTTTTAATGTCATCTTTGCGTACGATTTGAATACTGCAATCGATGGAGTTGTGTGCCCCGCCCCACACTCTCAAATAAAGTTTTATGGGACTTCCATTTGGTCCTTGCGGAGACGAGGCGGAAAATTTGTTGGCCCGTAAAAGCGCAGTGTCGCCAAATTATTCATGGTGCATTTTGTGCCGAGAGGAGTTGAGTGATGTGTGAAAAGGCTTTCGACACTTTGGCAGCGAATTTATGGCCTGAAATTTTAATTTTTTTTATTTATGGCTGATAAAGATAGTTTGAGTTCCTGGTTTTTGTTTTCCTTGCATTTTCATGTCATTTAACTGAAGTGTATTTTATTTTAATTATTTGAAACAGCTTTTATATTGTTTAATTTATATTGTTAAAAAGTGTTCAATGAATTGTTGTGTTGTGTCCCCCACAATTATTGATTGGTTTCTCCTTAGACGTCCTTCTGAGCGGTCTCAGCAAACATAACTTGTGTGTTCCTCGGCTCAAAGGACTGTTCAGACGACACAAAGACCTCTTCAGTCATGTTCAGCCCAGCAGCATCTTGCGAGTTTTTAGGCTCAATGGACTCTTGGGTATAGTTCAGTCCAAACGAGAGTCCTACGGTATCGTTTAGCACAAGCGGCTTTTGGGTATCGTTTAGCAAAATCGTCTCTGGGGTATCGTTGAGCTCAAAGGTCTCGTTCGGCACAAGCGAATCTTCGGTATCGTTCAGCAGAATCGTCTCTTCTGTATCGATAAGCTCAATGGAGTCTAGGGTATCGCTGAATTCAAAGGTCGCCTCCTGATTGGGGTTCGTCTCTGTGGAACTTTCTCTTCCCTGTGGCTCCAAGGCATCGTTGTGAGCTTCCCCGATGTTCTGATTTTCCATCTTATGTTGCTCAAGCTTCTTCTGTGCCAAATCGCCGGCAGCATTCAGTCGTACAATAAATTGTTTGACTATCATTCGTGTTTCCATCCGATTATCTTTGCGGTGCATGCACACGTAGACCGGCGGTACGGAGAAAAGCAAATACAAGGCTGGGACACCCACGGATAAAGCATGAGCGTAGAGGATAAATGGCATTCAGCACTTACCGCAGGTAGCCAGAGTAGAGCCAGAGACTAGATTCCCCACAAAATATATATACATGAGGGCGTTCATCAATGTGAAGGCCAAAAAGGGATTCTGCAAACCAGCTATCAATGGTATTTTGGCCAGACACATGTTGAGGCTTTGGATTAACGTATTGCTCCACGCTGGGCAAAGAAAAAGCGTCATGTAAGGCTGTGGCTGAACAGGATCTCCCTCGTTAAATTGTTTGTAGAGTAAATATAGATCATAGATAATGCTGCTCGTTAGTGCCATCATTGTCAATAGCATCACGGCACAGATCAACGATGTCTTTGCTGCATAATTGATGAATACGTGCAGAAGAGCCAGAGCCAAAACACTCTTGGGCCAGTCGCACCAAAGCACCAATTTCCGTAGCTCTCGCACAAGGCAACCGTTGCGGTTGCAACAATCGGGAAGGGACTCATCCTGCTGCTGCTGCTGCTGCTGCTGCAACTCCAGCTCCGTTTCGGGATTCATTTTTTGTTTTATTTATAATTTGTATTTTCTATTTTGCTGCTGCTCTCTGTAGCTCTGATTGAGAAATGAAACTTGCCTGCTTCACATAAAAGCAAAACAAACTTTATTCGTTTCACCTTTTTGGTAAATTTGTGTTCCCAAAGGAGCTCCAATCTTGGCCTACTGAAGCATCAACTCTCAGGATGTTGCCATGTGTTGTCCTGGTATGAAATAGGCACAATAAATTGGCTTTGATTACGCGGTGTGTTACCCCTAAAGGGTTACCATGGGCCACACACCAAATGTGATTCCATTTCTGACTCCCGCGATTTTTGCATAACATTGATTTCAATTTGCGTTCGTGTTTTGTTGACTTTAAACATTCCACTTTTGAATGATTTCTGTTAAAGCCTTTGATCCGTAGCGTCAACAAGTTTTTGGTTCTCTTCTTCACTTGCTCGCACATTTTTGTGCAAATAATTGTGGCACGAGGTGTGACCAACGCCCATTGAGTGAGTGCGAAGATTGCGAATGGCACTCAGCCTTCTGCCGACTCGATTGATTTGTCAAAGGCATTACGCTAATATTTTGGACAAATACTACAGCTCGATGGCGTCAAAATGACATCGAGTGCTTTTCACTTTTCCACCCTCTTAACTTTGGAAATTACAAAGAAGAAAAAAACGGGACAGACCGACTTGGTGAAGTGTCACAAGGCTTTTGTGGTTGGGCCGCGGCATGTCTGGGCAGGCAAATCTGATCTAAATATCAATTACTGCTGATTCCAGATAGTAAATCTATAAAATACAAATTTCCAGAGAGCTGTGGTACCCAATACTAGCTATCAAGTTACAAGTAGTGATGGGAAAAGGTTTTAAAATATTTTTAACAGATAAAATTCTACAAGGTTATACGGCAGACAAGTCCCCAAATATGTATAGATATAAAGTTGTTATAAAACTTATTAAATTATTACATTAAAACCCCCTCAATAATATGTATTTTGCTATAACCAATTTATGTCAACTTCAATTAGATTTACATGGAAATTAATATGCAAACAGTGAGATCTTTTTGTGTATTTGCTAGTCCCTGTGCGTGCGTCACGGTGCAGTTTAATTAAACTAAATTCCCCCATGGAGGTGCACACACGTCCAGCACAGGACATTGCACGCACAGATGCACACAGAGTCAGTACAGTCCAGGATATTAGAATGTTTGACAAGTTGTCAATGTGCGGACTGGGCAGAAAATTGCCCAAAAGGAAATCAAATCGAATCGAAGCGTTCATTTTGAATGTAAATTAAAACAAATACTTCTCGTACACATAAAATTACTTAAAGTTGCAACGAGTTGCTTGGGTTCTCTCTGTCACAAAAATCAAAGTCGTATGCATGGAATGCAAATACTGAATATCCTGGCCTGTCCTCTAAGATGGGGCCAGCATGCCGTGTTCTTTCCGTTCGATAAAGTTGTCATATGAGTGGTTCCTTCACGTTCCTTTAACTTATTCTTCCTTCGTCGTCGTTGACTTTCTTTATGGGCTGGGCGACAATGCCAGGAATTTCCTGTATTAAAATCGAAATTGCCTCGAGTTGCCGGGAAAATCAACCACCGCGCTCCTGACCCCCGAGAACTTCGGCCCATTGTATGAGTATCTCTGTGATTGGGGTTGGGGTCCTGCCCTGTTCTGCCCTGTTTTGTCCTGTCCTTACAGCTGTCAACATGTTTAATTGAAACTGACACTCAGTGTCATTTTATGGACATTGCCATGCGTTACCGTTACCTTAACTCTGCAACTCTGGTGGTAACTGTAATTCGACTTGGCTGGATTATTGCGGAACACATTCCAAACGGGGTGAGAGGGATGTATGCATGGAGTTTGGGCAATGCCATTGCAATGCGAATACTGTTCTTGTGTTGTATATTAGTTAAATTTATTTCCGAATACTCCCCCGGGTTTTTGGTGTATTTGCTTTGTCTTTTGGTTTTGTCATATTTGATTTTGGATTTTGGTTTGAATGGGTTCATGGGAAATTAGGATACGGGTTTTGAAAATAATTATGCACATGGAACTCACTGAATATGAGGAGGAATCATCCAGCTCTTTCTCTCCCAGTGCGGCTTAGCTTTTTCGCAACATATTTTTTTGCATATCCACTGCCAAACCTTCATCTTCGCCTTTTCTTTGCCCAGAGAAGAACTTTTGCCCTGGCAACACTTCAGCCGTGGGCCCCCAGGCTCATACTTACTGTAATTATTATTGCTAAGCTCCGTTTCTCCCCCAAAAAAAAACAGAGAGAGGACACATCAGAAGCCCAGCCCCCCATTTAATTGCAGACTACTAGCAAATACTCAAGATATTTTTATGCAGGCAATTCGTATTTTTTCCTGCTTTCCCCATTTTGGCGATAGGGGAAAAAGACTTGGGTGACTTTGGCCTCTTTTGTTTTCGTCACGGACGAGTGGCAGAAAGCAATCAGAGCCCAGAGCTCGGCGAGAGTTCCTTTTTGCCAAGAAAAGCAAAAATATCTTTAGCCACATTTCACTCTACTATTTGTTCTTCTTTTTCTTCTGTGCGCATTTTTCCTGGCTGTCGTCGTAGTCGTCGTGGGGCTTTTGTATTATTGGTGAAATTAGAATTTCTCATTAAAATAAGTGTTGGCCGAGGGACCCGCTTGACTTGAGACATTCAACCGTCTGTCCGTGGGCGACGGTGCGGCCCCTCGGCAAGGTGCTCGTCCATGGCAATGGACTTAAGTCGAAATTCCTTTTCTCATTTCTTTTTTTTCTCCCCCATTTTTGTTTATGCTTGGTCACTCATTAGTTGAGCTTGAAATCTGACAGACAGACGGATTCTGAGATTTTTTTTATTGTTATTTGTATCTTTATTTGGCGTCTCCACCCCACCACCCTGCATTGTTTTGATACCGGAGATGGGTTTTGGTTTGAGTTGATTTTACTTTAACTGATTTCTCCCTTTTAATAGCTCCTCTATCCGCACTGGGCTGCGTTCTCTTTTTGAGTAATTAAAATGGCAACTCCTTTTCGTTTTATATCCAATTATGGCCTGGCCGAATCTCTTATCTTGTATATTCTCAAAGGCAAGCCTTTTAGCTGCCTAATAGGCTTACAACTGAAACACTTTGCGGTTAATTCGATGATTTCCAGTGGAAAATTCCTAAAGTGGAATGGCTGCCATTTTCTATACCTCTATGATAATTCACTTGAATCACTTCAACTCTTTGAATTATTGCTCATACTTTGTAACTCCTAGTTCCATTTGCCAAAAACAATGAATCCAATGGTACGGGCAGATTTTTGAGTCTGATAAGCCTTCTTTCAACCCATTTCCGTCTCCCTCTAACCGCAGAGTATGTTGCTTACACACACAACAGCCGCAGAGAGCAACAATGTTTTGTCTCCCCCCACTTTAAAGTTCGAATTGCACTTTGTTCATATCGGGAAGGTGACGCAAAGAAGAACCGTATGATCTCACAATGCACGCACCCATGCAGGGCGCTCTCCCACTCCATGCATTGGGCAGCAGGGGAAAGGGCAGGCGTCATCCTAAGCATCCGCACAAGTGCTGCTGGACTTCCAGAGAGAGTGAGAGAGTGTGGGAGAGAGCGGCACCTCAGGCAGTTATGGAGCACAACTTTTCGTTTGTTTGACTTACGCCACCATGACCACAGACACATACACACACCCGCGCAGAAGTACACGACATGGGCGATGTTTGATATGGAGAGCGCAACAGTGTTGCTATTTGGAAAAAGAGAAGACAACGTGGCACGCGCTGCGCACGGGCGCATAGATCGGTACTAACATAAAGTGTGTTACTAAAATTAGTGATTTGTCAGTGAAGTTGCGAAGTGAAGACGAAAGTGAAATATTATTAAGGTAAGCCAGCAAGAAAGCTACTACGTAACTTACGAAGAACCCTTGCGGATGCACTATTAGCCACAATTATGTGCACTTCCTTCACGCGCCCATCACTGTTCCGTGCTGTGCAGTGTGGGAGGCTAAAGTTTGGGTTTTGAACTTTTGCCTGTTACATTTAAGTGGCTGCTGCCATGTAGCAATGTTTGTTTTTTTTTATGTTATTTGAACAAAACAAAACTTTATGCAAACGAAACTTTACAGAAATGTTTGCTGGTCTTTCTGTGGCTGTGGCTGTGGCTCCTGCTGCCGCTTCTGCCTCATGTGCCGCTGACAGTCTTCGACATGCACTGGGGTCCCGTGGCGCCCATCCACATGCACTGCAATAATATAGATAAAATACAATTTCTTAAGCAATTTTTGTTTTAATTAATTCCGTATTACTCTTTTGTGTCTGTTACGTGCCTGGAATGCCCCGCGTTGGCTTCTGTTTAATGTCTTCAGCAAAACAAACTTCGCTCTGGCCAGCTTCGGGTCGCCCCCTTAGGACTGCATTTAATTTTTTGGTTTTCCCTTGCACACTCTCCGCAAGGGTATTTTCATTTAGCCAAGCAAATGGCAAGTGGCAAGCAAAAGCATCAACACTGCTCTTATTTTTCTTTAACTAGTTTTGCTCTTTGATATAAAGGGAAAATGAGAAAGAGTATCTGCAATTTCGGCACCAGCAGTTTCTGTTTCATTTTCTGTTGCTTGCTGTGCAGTGTAATTAGCCACCTCCTTCTGGGCAGGACAGCTGCGCTCAGGTCCCCGTCTCTTTTGGTGCATAAAAGGTTTACGTTGACATTTTGCAGCAACAGTTTGTAATTTCTTTCCTCACTTTGCCTTTACCCATTTACCCCTTTTTTTCTTGCATATTCTTTGCATTTTTTACATTGCTCTGTTTTCTTACTAATTTCCTTTCGCTGTGCATTTTCTTTGCAGACTGGTTAATTACATTAGCAAAACGGTTCTGTTTTGCATTTCGATTTGGAAACCTTTCCGGCATCTTGCAGTTGACATTCTCAGGGGTAAGTCCACGTTTTTCCTTTTTGAAAAGCTTTTTTAAACTCTCTTTAAGGTTTAGTGTATTTTGTTGTGGAGTATCTAAACACTTTGTACACTTTTATGGGAACTTTATTACTTCCTTCAATCTATTTCCAATCACACACTTTCGCGTTGTAACTCGATGCACAGAATTGTAACACGTGATTCAATTTCGTTCATCAATTTTAATTGATTGCTTCAATTGGGTTTTGTTGTGCAGAACCCCCGCCCGAATCGCCCCAAAATCCCAACTTGGTTTTTATGTTCATGGCCACTTTATATGTAGCTTGTTCTTCCTGTTTCTTTTTTTTTTTTGCCGATTTTTATGCGTTTTTAATGTGTAAAATGGCTCAGCAGCTACTCCTTTTTATACTCCGTTCCGATCCGTTCTGCAGGCAGCCACCCCTTTAATGTAATTCGATTCCTAAATGTATTCCAACTGATTTTTATGTGCGTGTTTCTACAGTTGGTTTATGGACGTATTGTTATTTCCTCTGCTTTTGCCATATGGGTGGGTGGATGGTCGAGCCTCGGGGAGGGAAAGGCTCTCCGTCATAAGAGTTTTCGGTGGGCGACTCCAAGACTCCTTAAAGGTACCAACTATGTCACCCTAATTAGCATATGAGTTGTGGCTATCTAAGGGCAGCCAGCGGTTGTCCGCAGCTTATCGCAAACATTTCTCATCCCGTGCCCGTGATTCCCCCCATACCGACCCGTCCATTAGCCATTAGCCCGTTGGGTCCCGCACGACAATATTGACATAATCGACTTTCAGCTGCCGCCCTGCGACACAATTCAACCGCAAATGAGGCTTAGCCGTAAGGCAACGTCCCTGGCGACGATTACTTCAAAGTCTCCGCCACCCCACCACTCATCACACCAGAGGACAACCCACCAGGATTCACCGCACCTAACCGCACGATGAGGAGAGGGGCGGACAGCTTGCATTTATTTTCGATAAGATGGGGGGACAGGAACCCACGAGTCAACATTGGGATATGTGCATTGGCCTGAATGCGAGTTGGGGAGAACCACATTCGGTCGCGCAGCATCTCTGGAGGCTGCGGTCTCCGGGTTAAAGCCCCAAAAATGTGCAGTTTATTGGTCTTTAGAAAAGTATTGTAAGTCCAAGAAGGCCAGTATTTAGATGTGCATTAATTGACAGCGAAATTATTCTCAGTGTAGCTCAATGTATTTTTTTTTGGCTGTACATAATTTTTCTGCTTCGCTTTGATTTTCTTTCCTTTGCTTTACTTATTACCTCTGGCGAGAGAATGCCAGAATGCAAGAGAGCGAGGAAATCAGAACCTTGTGGGTGGCTTAGTGCGAGTGAGAGGGATGTGTGCTCTGTCTATGAACTGCGTCCAAATTACAGATTCATAGTTAAAGCTGCTCTCCCTTTCCCCAATTGCACTGCTGTCCCCGTTATCTTTACCGTTTATTCTGTTTCATTTCTACCTGCGCTGGGGAGAGCGATGCTCGTGGGAGAGAGGGGCAGTAAGAAGCTTTTGCGTTGCTGGGGAGAGCGGAGATTGTAAGAGAGAGTGGTAGTCAGAAGCTTGTGGGTAGCTGAGTGCGAGTGGGAGGGAAGTGTCCTCTCTTCATTAGTTGTGCTCTCTACTACTGCAATTACTGTACCACGCCCATGCTCCTCTCGAGTCCACTTACATGTAAACCATTAAAAACAACGAATTTATAAGCCGAAACATACGAAAGCATAACATTTCTAGGCATTTCCATAATAATTATGTTACCCGAGCCTCGCCCCAGGCGTACATACCGTGAATTATGCGAGACAATAAACTTAGGCGTGATGTACGGTATGGTGGGACATAAAATTGTCTGAATGAATGTTGCGCCCAGTCAGCAACAATAAAATATTAACATCAACTCTGGACCTGGTCGTGGATTTTACATCATTTTAATGAGCAACGACACCCACACAAATCCTCTCCGAAAGGGACACCGCCGACACACACCACCGTGAAGATTTGAAAATTAAGATAAATAAAAATATGACAGCTGAACACTAAAAGAAGCGACGACGACGACGCACCAAGTACTCATCATAATTAATGCCGCCGGGCTGCAGTGGAGTTTGCGAAAGGCAGTAAAACCTTCCCGGATTCATATGGATAATTAAGTTATGGGCCCAAGGAAGGGTTAAAGTTCCCAGATGGGACTCGGTCCTGCCAATGCCAATAAAATGATCGTAAAACTTTTCGGCCAAGCACTCAAAAATTCGCCCGAAAAACATGCTCCTAAGGCGCATATTTTAATTTCAAGATGGATTTGGAAAGGGTTCAGATTGTGGGTGTTGGTGGGTCATAAAAGGTCTCGCCATTATTTGTTTATATTAACTCATTTTTATATTTTTATGATTTTTTAATTAAGATGCAGCATTTGTAATTTTTTGTAGGTTTTAGCTTTAAATATTTGGAGAGCGTTTAAAATCTATATCTTTATCTTCACTTTAAACCCTAAGCAAAATTGGCCTCAAATCTGTTTCGAAAGCGTTCCGGAAATCTCCCTTGCCCGTCATTGCCTTCAATCAAGCCATCATTGAACCCATCCGACCACCCTTCCACCCATCAGCCAGAGAGTTCAACAATCTTCGAACTCCAACCCCATCCAAGCCATCGACCATTGGAAACGTCCTGTTCCACTCCGAGAGCCCAGAGCGCCATGTCATATCGGTTTTCCCAGATAGAATGAACTTTTATGGGCTTGTTAACAAAAGCGTGAAATTCAATGCCCAGGACGAACAAAACTCAACAGAACGGGGAAAAATATATATGTATACAAAAAAGAAAAGAAAAATTTACGACACTGCGAATTAAACTTGATTTTTATTTAAATAAATTGCATTTTATATGCTCCGCTCCTCTGAACTCCTCTCCCTGCTACTTGGTAATAATAAGCAGGCAACGCTCATAATTTTCACCGGAATATGGCAACGATGATGATGAGGATGCGGGTAGGAAGCGAGTATGTTGTATGCCCCATTCCGGGGCAGGTCTGACTGAGTGAGTGACTGAGCGACTGGCGACGGTTTGGTGGCGCGCTTTATGTATTTTTATTTATTACAGCGCCAGGAAATGTTTGCTGATTTTCCGCTGGCACAATAAAAATCAACGCGCCAGCCAGAAATTATTTTCTAGACGAACGCGCCTTTCACAAATAAAAAAGCCAGGCAGGGAGAACATATATCCAAATTGTACAGAATTTCTTTTGTGGATATCCCACGACATGAGCGCGTCATTAAAAACGGAAATGTTATGCCTGCGTCACGAAGTATGCAACCAATTTGAATAGAATCGAGTAAAACGCATTGATATGGTACTGTAGCAAGAGTTACAGGGCCAGGGTTAATGGGGGATTATCAGGGGAAACATTTGGAGAAGTTGGAAAGCTTAAACTGCAGTTAACTGCAGAATATGTTAGCATTTTCTTGAATTTTTTTGTGTCCTATTAGTTCATCTTATGGGTCTGCAAAAGCAAAAGAGAGAGGGAGAGCTCTCTTCAATTTTACTGCTAAGCCACACTGGAATAGAGAGAGAGAAATCCTCAAATCCTCCTTTTTTTCTTCTAACAAATCAACATTTAAGAATCTACTTTAATGACTTTAATGACTATGATTACTCCTTTCAACCAATAGCAAACCTCAATCGAGGTTAAAACTACTCCTAAAGACGGCTTTTTTGTTACACTATTTTCTAAGTTATATTCATAGAAGAACAAGGAACAAATCGTTCCTACTCGACGGCCCTAACGCGACAGTAGTAGGGTTCCACCGTGTGCAGGGTGACCACAAAAGTGAGCTTCATCTTCACCTGTCGCTCGCCCAATGGCTCGAATACGTAGCTCCTTAGCAGATGGGCCATGACCATCTTGATCATGGCCATGGCATAGCGCTGGCCCATACAGCTGCGAGCGCCCGTCATGAAGGGTATGAAGGTGGTGGCCTCGATCTTGTGCTCGGCACCGCGGGCCCAGCGTTCAGGCTTGAAGACGAGTGGATCGGGGAAGAAGTCCTTGCAGCGGCCCATGTACATGGGCGAGATGAGCACGTCGTTGCCCTTGGGTATGAAGAAATCATCTGGAAGAAGAATCTGGTGATTTAGGAGAGGGAAGAGCCGTGTCTGGGGATTACTCTACTCACTGATCTGACAATTGGCTGTGGCCTTTCGTGTCAGCATTGGCGCTGGGGGATACATTCGCAGCGACTCCTTCAGGCACCACTCGAGAAACTCCATTTGCCGTACTTGCTCTATGGTGATGGGTTCGCTGGTGTCCTTGCCACAGATCTGCCAAATCTCTTCGCGGCACTGCTGCTGGTAGTCCGTGTGCATCGTCATGTTGTACATGAGAAACTTCAGCGCGGTGGCTGTCAGATCGAAGCCACCGAATATAATTGTGTCCACCTCCTCGCGGATTTCCTTCACGGACAGCGGCAGACCCTCGGGCGTCTTGGCCTGCAGCAGCGTATCCAGGAAGGAGAGAACCGGACGATCCACTTCGGCGTTCTTGCTGCTCATTGTATTCCGATTTATCTCATCCAAATTGAACTGCGTCTGGCGCTCCTGGACAATGCCCTCGGTGAAGCCGTGTAGGGTCTTGAGCAGCTCCTGTTCGCGCTTGAACAGCGCGGTCCTGCGGTAGATGAAGGAATTGCGGTAGAAGAGGTTCTTCAAGCGATAGTCTATGACGTGCAGGATCCTGCAAAGTAAGGGATTAATAAACAGAAAGGGATCCAGGGTGTTTCTACACTCACTCCCTAACCGCTTCAAGGTAGGACGATCTCTTGCCCGATTGAGCATCCACCGATACACCCAGGGCCGTCTCACATATAACATCCAAGGTGTAGCAGCTTATCAGATGGAGAAAGTCGAGAGTCTCCCCGGACTCTGCATACTCGGCAACGCGGGGCAGCAGGATGCGTGCCTGTCGCTCAAACACCTCCATGAACTGCTTAATCATTGTG